GACGGAATCGGAAACAGCTGCTCTGCATCCTCTGCCCAGTGACTAGGCAGCATGTGCTCAATGGATAAGCCTTACTCATTGTGTACAGCTGTGATCACATATACATCTATCTTCCTGTCTTTCTTACTGTTTCACATTTGAACAGTTGGATGACTTTTGCCAAATTATGGGGTGTGCCAGGGATACCAATATTTGTGTATCTGTCTGTATAATGCCTAATGTGCAAAATTTACTTTGGAGATCTGGGAACACCTTAAAAAAAAAGAAGAAGAATTATTCATTTAATTTTATTTATCACTATTTTTTAATTTGACCAGTGAGAGACGGGGGCGGGGAGCAGGGGGGGTGAGGGCGGAGGAAGTAAGAAAGCAAGCTACCAGGTCCAGGACTCAAACCATGGCCCTCCATGTGAGAGCTCAGCTCCTTAACCACCACTCCACCTTCTGGCCCCTGGGAAACATCTTGAAAAAGAAGCAATCAGGGCCAGCAGGTAGTGTAGTGGTTAAGGTGCCAGACTGCCACATGGGCGACCACAGCTCAAGTCCCAGACCCATGGCATGAAACTCACAATGAACGAATGGGCACACAAGCCCAAAATCCCAGGAGGAGAATGAAAGAGAAGGAATTGCGGCATGGCCATGCCCTCAGAGGGTGATTTCTCACTTTCCCTCTCACCGTCTCTCTCTGGCTACTGCATGCACCCTATGGCTGAAAACCTTTAAGAGAAGCAGCCAATCTCAGTAAGATGTGACTTAGTATAATCAGAGGCAAGTATAAATAATAGTAAAACAATCGTTCCATAAGAATGATAGTTCCATGGGAAAGGAGGATAAACCATATTCCAAGCATGAGTCCCAGATAGAAAGCTATAAGGGCAGATACAATTTTAAGTGGTAATTCGCAACCTAAGGAGTTTGCATATGACCCAATCAATGCAGTGAGCACAAAAGTGGCATATTTATACACTAAAGAGAATTTTACAAATATTTAATAATTAAGATTTCCTCCAGTAAATCAGATAGACCAAATTGTATGTGCATATGAGTAAGTCTAATTCACCTTATAAAAGAGACGTGTTCCACAAGATTCTCCTTTTACTCAACAAATTTTAAAAGTCTTATTAATTAATTAGTGTTTTTGAAATTGCATACATTAACTTTCTTGCTAAGTGACCAACTATATTTATAAAATACTTGAAATTGTTAATTATTAGAAATGCAAATAAAAACTACAATGAATCAACATCTCACACCAGTTAGGAGAGTTATTATCAAAAAGACAAAACTCGAGACCAGCAGATGGCATGATGGTTATGTTGCTGGAGTCCTGGACCCGGTGGCTTAAATGCATGCTGGGTGTTTGTGTATGTGTGCCCAGGATCCTGAGAGGAGGATGAAGGGGAAGGGATTGCAGTATGGCCATCCCCCCTACGGGGTGATTTCCCACTTTCTCTCTCTCTGTCTCTCTGTCTCTCTGGTGAGTGCACATGCCCTAGAGCAAAAACCTCTCCAAAAAAAAAGAAAAAAAAGAAAGAAAAAAATAGAAAAAAAACCCAAAAACTCAACAAATGCAGGAGAAAATGTAGATGAAGGGAAATCTTATACTCTGTGCGTGGGACTATAAATTAGTACAACTACTATGGAAAAAAGTATTGTGATTTCTTCAAAAAACTAAAAATAGAACTGCCATGAGATCTAGCAATTTCACTACTGAGATACACCCAAAGGAAAGGAAATCCATATGTTGAAGACATAGGTGTTTGCATGTTTGTTGACGTACTACCCGTAACTGTCAAGATTTGAAATCAATCTAATATTCATCTACACAGTGTACATTTACACATGAACTGCACTCACCCATGAAAACAGGTACCATGCTGAATTTGTGGTGGCATGAATGAGTCCAAAAAATCAGGCGCAGTGAAATAATCCAAGTGCAGAAAGAGAAGTACCACATGGTCTCTCACGTATGGAAACTGAAAAACATTTTTTTTTTGGAGAGATTTTTTTCACTGTAGGGCACGTACGCTCGTCAGACAGACAGAGAGAGCCAGAGAAATAGAAAGCCAGAAATCCCCCCCCAGGGGGGATGGTCACGCCGCAATCCCTTCTCCTCCATTCTCCTTTTGGGATCTTGGGCACGCATGCACACGCGCCCGGCATGAGTTTTAAGACACCGGGTCCGGGACGCGAACCGCGGTCGACTACGTGGGAGTCCAGCAACATAGCCATTACGCTAACTGCTGGTTCCCAGAAGTTGAAAAACTTTTGATCTCATGGAACTAGAGAGCAGAACTGTGGTTCCTAGAAGTTGGAAAGGATCAGCATATGGTACAGAATAACAGAGCTTGGTTACCAGGTACAGAATTACATCTAGAGAGGAGTATAATAGCACTATCGAGTCACTATATGAAAGAACAGTTTATAGCATAGTTCAGTAAAGCTTGAAAAGAGGATTCTGAAACAGCAACACGAATGAAAACAAATGATTAGTGATCAATACTATTACCTTAACTTGATCATCATATCTTAGACACATATATGGAGATATTACGCTATACCCTTTAAATGTGTACAACCATTATTTGTCAACTTAATATAATAACTATAAAAAGATATGGATAAATAAGTTAATTGGGAAACAAAGAACCTTTTTAAGAAGAAACTTGTTAAAGAGTTTGGAATTTATCTTGTAGGTAATAATGAACCATGAAAGGGATTTTAGAGTGGACGATGACAAAACGAATCTGCACTCTAGGGAGGAAAGAGTTGATCTGTTAGAGATGTAAAGTAGGTTTCCTGCTGTTCTCAGTAGAAGGGCAATATTAGCAGCAGAGTCCAATAGGAGACCTAGGATGGAATTGCAACAGTAATTAGATTGTCTTCCAAGAGATTTCTGTTTCTTTAAAACTCTAGAGATAAACACAAAATACTTAGCAATAATTTTGGAAAGGGAAAGAAAAAATAATCAATGAAAACGAAGTAATGCTTCCATAAACTTTCCTGGCAGGATACCTTTATGGACACCTAGGGCTTGATAAGACTTACCTAACTCAGGTGCGTTTTAACCAGTTCCCTAACTGTGAATGTTCCAGTGCTCTATCTCTCAGATACTCTGTTAACACTTTGATGGAGAATTGTTGGCTGTGCTGCAATACCTTTTTCTCCACTCTCCTCTTGGGATTCTGGGCACACATGCACACGGGCCATGTATTTGTCAAGTCACCAAATCTGTCACTTGAACCATGCAGTCACCATGTGGAATCCAGTCACCCAAACACGACGTCACTGACTGGCCCAGTGTCTTTATTTTTTTATCATCATCATACTAAAAATCTGAGATCTGGTGTTAATTCTTTTTCTCTTAATTCAGAATTATATGTATATATTTGGCATGCAAAAATATTTTGTACAACAAACATATATCAACAAGTAGTACTAAACAATGTAATCTGAGTTTCCTTTAGTCTTTTTCTATTATTTTTATATCACTTCCATGGTAATACCTAAATGGATGTGCTCTCAATCAAGAAAAAATAGCATAGTAAAATACAAATTCATTTGCAATCATTGGATTTATTGAGATGAGATTTCATTTGTGATTGGAAGATTGACTCCTAGGCTTCATATCTTGAGTCTGGGAAATACTGATGTAAGACTTCTCTTGAGATGGTGATATTGAAATGACACACCTAACGACATGTAACAGACATGAGTACAGGGAGGTGGCCACCACTCAAAGAATGTACCTAATTGTGTTACATGAGTTACACGGTAAGGATGACTCAGGGAAGGAGCAGCAACAGCTTCTGCCTGGTTAAATAATTGGGCAGCTGGCTTTCCCAGCCAGTGAAGATGTTTGAGCTCCCCGCGCACTGACCTCTCCGTGGACCTTGAGCGCACGGTCTTTAGACTTCATCTGTTTGGATCACAATGTGGTCGAGAATACTCCTGGGTTTTTTCCTCTTTCATCTCTCTCTTTCCCAGTCGCCACAAGTGTAAGTGATGGGATGGGGTTTTACTATTAAATGTAAAAGACAAAGAGAGTTTGGTGTTAAACATTCCAACTTATGTTTTTACTGCAGTGATTTGGTTTTTAATAATCTTACCAGTTTACAATAAAATCTATACTCTGTTCATTTATACAGTCCTTTCCAGATTTGAAAGGCACCATTACCTATGCCTAGCAGGTATTCGGTGTGCTGGTTAAGAGCTGTAACAGGGCTAGGCTTATGCTGAAGAAGGGCTGTCAGCCGCTGCCTGTGAAATAAAACTGCAGTACCGAGGCGGAAGCATGTGTGAGGAGACCGACACGGATAACCTTCACAGAACTAATGACTTAAATTACTTGCTGCTTTGTTATTGGGATTTTGTTGTTGTGGTTGTTGTTGGGTGTACAAAATCCAACTCATAGGCCAGCTGCATTGTTTCATGCATTTCACGGCCTCAGCATTACCCTTTTGATGTGTTGCTAACATTGATGTGCAATGAGCACTGGACGCTGGGAAGGATAGGGAGGGAATAAAGGGATGTTGATTTTTTTAAAGAATTATTTTATTGTACTTTATTTTATTTATATATATATGTATATATATATATATATGTATGTGTGTGTGGTTATGTATACATATTTTTTTATTTTAATTTGACCAGAGAGGGACAGTGAGAGAGAGAGAGGAAAAGTGAGAAAGCAAGCCGCCGGATCGGGGACTAGAACCACCGTCAGCCATGTGGGAGTCTAGTGCTCTTAACTGCCATGCCACCTGCTGGACCCCCCATGATGTTGATTAACAGAGATATGATTGCAGAGAGAAGGAACACTGTCTAGTGCTATAAAATACAGTGGGGAGAATGTGGTGAATAGTGCAAGATCTCAGAGGACCTAAAAGAGGATTTTGAATATTCCCGACACTAACAATTATAAATGGTTGAGATGATAGATGTCCTAATCTCCCTGATTTAATCATTACACAATATATTCATGTACTAGAAAATGACATTGTAACAAGGGTTATGTAAACATTGGTATTAAAATTTTTCTCATTATTAGTAAATATGGACTGTCATTATTAAAGTAATAATAGTAATGCATTTCTCTCCGAAGTCCTTCAGTGAACCAAGTAATCGCAAAGTAGCAAATTAGTTCTTTGACGCTTTCAATTTGAATGCTCCTGATAACTTCTGCAGGCAGTATGTTCTGCTGGTCCCCTCCGTTCTACATGAAGCCTCCTCGGGTAGAGCCTGCGCCCAGCTTCTGAATCTTACTGAACCCGTTGTCTTGACTGTCTTCCTCAACTATGATGAGGTCCAGATCTACATATTCGAAGAGAAAGTTATTGAAGAAAATTTCTTCCAGTGCTTCAGCTTTGAGGTAAATCCTGCAGATACAGAAAAGAACTTTACAGATGTACAGAAGCCATCCACATGCTGTCTAGAGACAGAGATCAGACTATGAGGCTAGGTGGGAAAAGTTAATTTTTTTAAGCTTTATTTTTTATTTATTTCCTCTATGAATGAGAGAGCTAGGGAGGGAGACAGAGAGACAGCAGAAATATAGCACTCCCAACAAGATCCCAATGCCACGATCTACCCCGTCTTCCGCTAGCCCCGGATTGTAGACAAGCCTGTGCGCATCCTGGTTAGGGAGGTTTCCGGATGGAACTGAGAGCCTTCCGAAGTGGGACTGCCTCGCACGGTGTTGTGTTTTACTCCTGTTCCATCTGCCCCTCAGTTTGAGATTCTGTAACTACAATCACAAATTGTGACAAAGCAAAGAACCAAACTGGCTCCATTTTATCTATTTATTTTAATTTTTTTATACATTCAATCACATTATTTAGCCTACAAAGTATCCATTTCAATATGTCAACATTTCTCTCCAGTCCAGTTGATCAAAATATCTTCAACCGATAACACCACACCTCTCCATCCCGTCAATGCTCTGCCTCCGTATCCCTCCTCCAAATGTCCTTCCCCAGGCCCCGCTCCTCCACCCACCCCACATCTGGCATTCACACCCATCTCTTGTGTTTGTACAACCTTTAGTCAATCAGTTTCAGTCATAGAGTGCAGACATTCGGTATATATTAAGTGGGGACATACAATGTCTCTCCTTCATAGCCTGGCTTGCTTCACTCCAAACTGGTTTTAGGTCAGAAATAGGTTGAAGTGAGTAAGATATATGAAAAGAATGACTCCCATGTAGAGGAGTCATTTGAGCTTTTTGCGGGGGGGGGGCGGATTTCATTTGTTTGATTTGCTATAGGGCACAGGAACTCACTGAAGAGAGACTGTGATAGATAGAGAGAGAGAAATCATGCCCTGGGGGAAATGGCCACCCCACCATCTCTTCTCCTCCACTCTCTTTTCAGAATTTGGGGCATGCACACACAAGTGTCTGGCATGATTTTCAAACTGCTGGGGACCAGGGCTCAAACCATGGAGTCAGCCATGTGGAGACCAGTCACCTTAACCACACCACCTGCGGGCCCTAAGGAGGGTTTTAAGAGAACTGAAGGAAAATTAATTCAAATGGTGAGATAAGATAAGAAAGTGACAAAGTAAAAGAAATAAACAAGGTTGGTTATTCAAGAAATAGATATGACAGGTTATAAAAGCTTTTAGTAAGAGATGTAAGTTAAAGTTAAGCTTTAAGTTAGAATTAAGCTTTTAGTTAGTAAGAGATTTAACAAAACCCCAGTCTGGTCAATTTTTGATTCATTCCCTAGGTTCCTCCAGCCAGATCTGACCCACTGGCTTTCATTACATTCTCTGCTAAAGGAGCCACTCTCCACTTGGAAGAGAGGCGGTCTGTGGCAATCAGTCCTAGGGAAAACGTGGTCCTTGTGCAGACAGATAAACCCATCTACAAACCTGGACAAAATGGTGAGTGTACCTAAATGATGCTATCCTTAACTACTATCATTCATAAGATACTCAGATTGATGGTACTCAATTCAACCTCAGAAAATTCTTTGCATTGGAATCTCTTGGAGATCCTGCTTAACACAGACAGTGGTCAGAAGACGGGGAGATGAATAGCCCTGGAGGAAGAGCAGAGGAGGGCATTTGGATCAGTGCGAGGTACGGAGGGGCACTGAAGGACCAGGCAAGAAGCCAAGGCAGGACTCAATACTAGTGCTTGGGCCAGCACCAGTTACTGTTGAAAACAAACCCTGTGAACGGATGTGTGGTAGAGTGGGAGGTGCTCAGGAAGAGGACGATGATATGCAGTTGGCACAAATGAGTGTCCAGGAAAGGTTTCTAAGATTCTCACCAAGAAAAGCTGGAAAAGACAGGTTGGCAAGGATGCTACTACTTCAAACTGCCCAGAAACCAATAAATAAATAAATAAATAAATAAATAAATAAATAAATAAATAAATAAATCAAAAGATTCCCTTTCTTTTTCGTATTCTATTCACTTTCTAGTAAAGAACCTAATGTACAGATAAAATATTATAACACAGAAATTAAATGATGAGTCTTACACAGGGAGGGATATTCATCTTTCAAAACATTGAACGTTAGAGTCTGACGTATGATGCTGCAAACATTCATAAAAGTACATTGTGATATTACCTATGACTTTATACTAAAACTGCAGTGTACATTTAGTTTGTTGTAGCTTTGTATGTGTCCGCAATCTGTATTTTGATTTCTATTCATTCATCACTCCTTCTTCTGCAAAATCATGGGAGATAGAACATCAATGTAGTCTTAAAGTTTTACAGGAAGCTACTGATGGCTACGTTTTTGTAAACTTAGACATTTAGAATTTTGTCTAAGAGTTTCTAGACAATTTAGAAATTGTCTAGACACTTTTTTTTTTTAATTTTCCTCTTCTGGTGTCATATTTACTGTTGTTCAGACATAGAAGTATCTCACATTTGTAATGAATGAGTTCAACTGAGGTCCCAGTTTGACCAGAATTATGTTTCTGGCTGAAAATGGGAATACTGGTTTGACTGGCTTTTCCTGGGTGTTACTTCTGCTTGAACATGCTCAAGATCAAAGAAAATGCAAACAATGAAAGTCATCTCAGAGATCAGAAATAAGACAAGCTCTTACAGGCAATCAGTGTAGGGCCACCCTTGAGAAAGAGTAGGTTGTACCTAATATAATTTCAAATTACAAGAAAACCCTCCCAAAACTAATCATCAGCTACTTTGTTTTTTTCATTTTCTGTATCATGAGTTTTATTGCAGTTGCTTATGGTAATTTTATGTTTATTTTCTGTTATGGAAACAAGAAATGTAATAGTGATGTATTTGCTTTATTTAAGCATTAAACTCAATAAACGTTTAGTTTTGAAAATATATACTCCCAGGTAAATTTATAAAGACAACAGGCACCTGAGAAAAGGGGGGGAAAGTTGGCCAAAAATATGAAAGATGTTTTAAGTTCCTAAAGTGAAACTCTTAAATGTCATAGAATTAGGAAAGGGAGGATATTTTAATTTACTTACCAATCCAGAGAAAATAATAGCATTCCCATTAGCAAGAAAAATATACTGTGTTTTACTGTTACACTGACAACCATCGTCATTCTAAAAAAATCAAAGTTTTGTTTTGTTTTGGCAATTCTATGACATTTTGGCAATTAGTGTCCTAAAAATATCTGTGAATTATGTGAATTGAAATTACATGACTTAGAAAGAGCTTGTTGTAAAAATATGTTTATAATCTCATGTATATAATTTTAGCTAATGAATTATCTCCCTGAATATTCAAACTGATAATATTTTTACAGTTGTCATGGTTTTAAAGCTGACAAGTTGAGTGTGTTATCAGCTATATAAGCTATGAGTATATTGGGTCTACACTTTAGACAGTAGGGAGGAATACACGCCATTTGTTTAGGTAACTTCTGAAAAAATGAATTTTAAGTTGAGATTTCTCAGGCACAATCTTTAACAGAAGGTGGACCCTCCTTATAAAAGAAATAGTAATAAAAGTTATCTGAGTGTGATCAAATATTATGGTTACCACAATTACTTTCTGGAGGGTCCCATTATCCTAAGCATCCATTGTTCTCTGAATTAATTTTTTTAAACAGAAAATACAGTATCACTAAGAAGACTCTGTGTGGAAAACATATACACAGAATGCAAACACACAAGCCATGAACTGAGTATTTTTGACATTGTTTCTATAATTGATTCATAGTTCACCTTGTTTCTATCTTAGAGGATTTTCTTGTCTTTAATGAGCATGTGTTATTTTACATTATTTACAATGAAATTAAGATATCACCTATTCTACATTATAAGAAACATTTATTCTTGGGACCAGCAGATGGCATAATGGTTACATCACTGGACTCCCACATAGTCAACTGTGGTTTGAGTCCCAGACCCAGCGGCTTAAAACTCATGCCAGGCACATGTGCATGTGTGCCCAAGATCCTGAGAGGATAATGGGGAAGAGATTGCAGTGTGGCCATTCCCTCTGGGGGGTGATTTAGTGATCTCCCATTTTCTGTCTCTCTATCTCTCCAGTAAGCATAAGTGCCCTATAGAAAAAAATCTCTCTACAAAAAAAAGAACAAAATTCATTCTTAATTCCATGAATATTTATCTTTTAAATTAACAATGGATAATACAGTAGTAAAACACTTAGTAGAATCTTTATTTTTTTATGATTTGTTGTTTACATGCAATCATTATACATCTCTATAGCACACTATGTTTTTCAAGGAATGCATGCAGAATGCAATATTCAAAGGAAGGATATTAACATAAACATCATTTTCAACAGAATAGTTTGCAATCTTGTATCTTATAAGAATTTTTTTTCTCTCAGTCCCTCCCACACACTCTGTACCATCCACTCCTCTCCTCTACAATTTCTGGCATCTACCCTTGGCCTCCCTACTTCAGAGCTTTGGGCCTTTCCATTTGTGCTGTAGATGTAGACATTCGGTATCTATTGAGCAGGGATACACAATGTTTGTCTATCGTAGCCCAGCTTACTTTGCTTAGAAACTTTATATTTTAATATGGGTTCAAAATCCACTCAATTGACACATTTATTAAACGCATGCTGTATGCTTGGTAATCTGATACATTGTAGTGGCATAAAGGTGAATAGCAATACAAAATTCATGTAAATGGGAAACTAATCAAAGGTGGACCTAAACATATTTTTAGTGTAATGTGTTAACTGCCATATAGTAGCATGGACAAAATTTGGTGGAAAAGGACAGTAGTTAATAGGGGGTAAAAAGTGACTAATTCTTCGATATTAGAAAAGAAATATGTCAGGCCAGCCCTGTGGTCTGGTGGCTAAGGGAGCTGAATCTCCCATGACCAACCACTTATACAATCCCTGCCCAGAGCTTTGAAAAACATATCGGGCTTGGGAGCCAGCAGTTAGCATAATGGCTATGTCACTGGACTCCCCATGTAGTCGACCGCGATTCAAGTCTCAGACCCGGTAGCTTAAACTCATGCCGGGCACGTGTGTGCGTGTGTGCCCAAGATCCCGAGAGGAGAATGGAGGAGAAAGGATTGTGGCATGGCCATCCCCCCTGGGGGGGGGATTTCTCACTTTCTGTCTCTCTGTCTCTCTCTGTCTTTCTGGTGAGTGCACACGCCCTATAGCAAAAACCTCTCCAAAAAAAAAAAAAAATCGGGCTTGTGTACATGCCCCAAATTCTGACAGGATAAAGAAATAGAGAAGCGATTGCAATCACATGTATCCTCTGACAAAAATTGAAAAAAATAAAAAAGGAACAAATATGCCAATAGGATATATAGAAATGCATTTGAAGTTAAAAAAAGAACAAATTGACTAATATGCAAAGTCTTTAGCAAAGAAGATTGCGGTTGTATTTGGGAGAATTAAAGAAGGGGATGTCCCCAGCTCCCAATGGTGAGGCAAAACAAAACAAAACAAAACAAAACAAAAATCAGCCCCTCTGTGGGATGATAAAGCTGAAGTTATCATAAAAATAAAATGATGGAAGTGAAGGTAATGCTCATGATAGATAACTGCAGGAAAGACTTGTCATGTGACCTCCAACTTGGTGGCACCACAGTGGAGAATGACTAGACAGGGTGCTGCAGTGGAAGGCCAGGACAGGACTTTCACAAAGCATGTGTGACCTGCTGTCCATTAAGTTATTGAGACTCCAAGTTTTGTGCAATAGGAAGTTTCAATCAGCGAAGATTCAAGATCAGATATAGTTTTCAGAAGGTAGTTCTGATAACCATGGAAAGATTAGGTAGGTTAAGGCAACACCAATGGCAGAGATCCAGTTAGAGACTGTTGCAAGAGATCAAATAACATGATTGCATCATAAGCAAAGACAGCAATGGTGTTATAGTAAAGGAAAAATCAATTTCTAAATGACAGAACTAGGCTGGTCCCATCGCCTAGCAGTTAAGGAAGCCATATCCAGCATGACTGACTGTAGTTCTAATCCCAGCCTCAGGGGTTTGAAAAACCACATTGAGCGTGTGTTTATGCCCCAAATCCCAACAGGATGAAGACATGGAGGAGAGGGATTGGGATATGACCATGTCACATTGAGAGTGCTTTCTCTCTCTCTCTCTACCTCTGGTGAGCTCATGTGCCCTCCGGCAATAAATAGCAAAACTGACAAAGTGGATATAAAGATAAGACTAAATGGAAAAACATGTTTTGAGATAATTAAGCAAAGACTTGGATGAAGTGAGGATGTACACCATGGATAGTGGAAATCATTTTGGGCTAGAGAAATAGAAAGTGATTTTGTGTTTTTGCCATAGGGCATGTGTGCTGACTGTTAGAGAGAAACAGAGAGAGAGAAAGTGAGAAATCATCCCTCGGGGGATGGCCACACCACAATCCCTTCTACATTCTCCTCTCGAGATTTTGGGCATGCACACACATGTGCCTGGTGTGATTTTTAAGCCACCAAGTCTGGGACTCAAACCACGCAGTAGACCATTTAGGATCCAACACCTTAACTACCATACCACCTACTGGCCCAGAAAGTGGTATTTTGAAGGCATGTTCCAATGTAGAGTGCAATGTACGTAGGGAAGATAAAAATGAGGCCAAGGTTTTTGGACTGAACACCTAGAATGACCTAGAATGACAGAATTATAAAATAGGAAAAGGTAAAACCAGAACAGGTTTGAGGAAGGAAATCAAGAGTTTCGTTTGTTTGTTTTTGTTTTGGGCAGACCAAGTATGAGGTGTCTTTTAAATATCTAAGCAGACATGTTAAGTAGAAAGCAGCGTTTATAAATCTTAGATAAGGAGAAAGGGCTGGAAACTTGAGTCTAGGGAGCCAGAAACATGGAGATCCATTTAAAACAATGGTAGTTGCTGAGATCAGCATTTCTCACCATTCGGACAGTCCTATAATAGCCAAAGAACACGTCTTTCTTTTGTTTTGACATCTGACATCCACACAGCTGCACACATATAAAGAGAATGGTAAAATAGATGTCAATAAACATTTTAAAAGTAAACAGGTGAATAAATGAATTGAAGTCAGGAGAGGGTCAATATTCTAGAAGAATGAGATTAACAAAGTTAAATTCTAAGGAAGTATGAAAAACACTCTTGAAGGTTCATAAGTGTACACAGACAGATGACAACATCGAGCCTTTGAATGGCTTTTTCCCCAAAGTGCAATAACTCTGCTGTGAAAACTGACACAGATTTCCACATGGATCTTCATTTTCCTTAAGAGAAAAACCATGGGGTCCTCCTACATGGAGCCTTTCAAAGCTGCCCTTGACGTCTTAGTGGACATGAAGCCCATGGCTTCATGGTGAAATTCTATAGGTAATGTAAGTGGGACAGCAACCTCAAAGTCATTAGACAATATCCACAAGAATCCAAAGGGGTTTTCTGGAATAATGATATCTAAAATAATAATTTCTCTCTTTTGAATTAAGGAGCAAGAAAAAGCATTTCACTGGAGTTATAAATTTAGGAAGTTGCTAATTCTTCTTTTTAACCATGTGCAAGAGGAGAGGTCTCCAATTCTAGAGGAGAGGAGGTGACTTCAGAATAGGAAAGAGATAGAGCGTTGTCTGAGAAAAATAGAATCATAAGGAAACACCTTGATGAACATGAATTGTATTGATGGCAAATAGCATGGAATTGACCAGGGCCATCAGGCTGAGAACTGACTTGGGAATAACAGCTGGACAAGAATGTGGAAGTGAGAGAACAGAGATGTTGCAATGCTCACACTGATACGCATTTGTAACCACTCGTCACAGGTTGCAATGCTTTCTCATTTATCTCAGCTAATCATTTAGTAGGGAGGCTGTTACGACACAGTCGGTAAATATATCCTCTTTACTTCCTTCCTCAGTGAGGTTTCGAGTTTTGACTCTGGATGATCACTTGAAGCCTGTTGACGAAACGGTGAGTTATGGTTGGGAAAGTGCCACTGTTGACGCATGCCTTGTTCTCACAGCTTCACACAAACCCATGAAATGCCAAAGGTCCGACCAAATGATTGGTTTTACCATCCTGTTAGCCTACAGCCCAAGGTGTTCCTCAATTAGTCAAACACTTTTCTGTCTTTCCTTCCTCTTTCTCTCTATCTTTGGTCAGAAAATATATATGTATATATATTTATATTTTTTTTCCCAAAATAAAAGTCTATAATTTACTGAACCCCCTACCACTTACAAAGCACAGTGCTAGATAAAATGAGATCTGAAGATGGTCCTGCTCCCAAAACGATCATGTTCGAATGGAGGTGATTGGGAAAATACACATATGACCATAACAGAAGTGACATTAAAAAGTAGGAGGGCCGGGAGGACCAGCAGTTAGTGTAATGGCTATGTCACTGGACTCCCACGTAGTCGACCGTGGTTCGCGTCCCAGACCCGGTGGCTTAAAACCCATGCCAGGCGCGTGTGCATGCGTGCCCAAGATCCCGAGAGGAGAATGGAGGAGAAGGGACTGCGGCATGGCCATCCCCCCTGGGGGGTGATTTCTCGCTTTCTGTCTCTCTGTCTCTGTCTGGCGAGTGCACGCGCCCTATAGTGAAAACCTCTCAAAAAAAAAAAGTAGGAGGGCCAGGCAGAACTGTGCAGGTAAGGTGACTGAATCCCACATGGTCAACTGTGCAGTTCAAACCCCAGACCCACGGGCTTAAAAAACATGTTTAGTGCATATGTGTGCATGCCCAAAATCCCAAGAGGAGAATTAATGAAGGGATTGCAGTGTGGCCATCGCCCTGAGGAGTGCTTTCTCACTTTCCCTCTTTATCTCTCTTACCTTTTTTCTCTCTTTCTCTCTCTCACACACCAGCAAGTGCATTTTCTCTATAGCAAATTTTTTTAAAAAAGCATAAAGAAAATATACCACTGTATCCTTGGCATCAAAGAATACAACATGGCTCTTAATATTATGAAATGAGCAAATGATGTATCAAGTGAATGAGTAAATACCATATAGAGTGAATAACAATTTACAATGACTGAACAAATGAATTAAACACAGAATGAATTAAAGTACTATGCCCACTTCAGATCTGAAGCTACCAGGAGAGAGATTACCTTCAGTCATCAGGTCCTGAGACAGGGAAAAGGAAATAGTAAACTATTACAAAAATGGTGCCAGGATAACCCAATTGAAGACTAGTGCCAGAGGGAAAGTGGGACAGGGTAGGGGAAGTAGGGCAAGGTTGGGGAAGAAGCCTGCAATTGCAATTGATCTGGGTCGAAGTCTTCCCTGACTGGAAGGAAGTTCTGGAACATAGATTACACATCAGTTTGTTCTACTTTCCGTAAAGGAAGCTGGACTTTTGTACTCTAGCACAAGGCAGTTGGTTCTGGGCATCCCATAAACCCCCCCAAAATGTGCCAAGCAAGAAGCCCAAGATAAGCCTGTCAAAAATTTCACAGATGAGATCTGGCCTTATAGCCTGGTAGTTAAGGGAGTCAGATATTATAGGGCCAGCTATGATTTGAGTCCTGGCCTAAGGGGCCTGAAAAACACAGTGGACACATGTGTGTACATGCCCAAAATCCTGACAAGATGAAAAAGTGAAAAAGAAAGGAATGGCCACAGCCTGTGGAGGATGCTTTCTTGCTCTTTTACTCCCTGTGTCTCTGGTGAGCTCATGTGCCCTCTCACCAAAACCAAAAATTTAGAAGGGAAATCTGTTAGAAGCAAAGCACAATGAAGCTGAGGTGGGTGCAAAGAACCAGAAAAAGGGAAATAAGGGCAGAGCATTGGCCACACCTCCCACGGGTATCACGGAGTAGGTGAACTTCAAAGGCTTCTTAGAGACTAGAGATGATCCAATGTTTTTATGTTAAAGAGACGAAGCTATTACAGGTCAAGGGAAAATGTAAATAAAGGCATGCAGGAAGAGAATCTAGAGGATGTAGGGAATAGCAAGAACACGGCCTTGCTGAGTCATAGTACAAACACCTGGTAAATAAATAAATGAAGGAAAGAAGGCTTGATACCATGTTGTGAAGGTACTTGAATGACACTTGGTTGTAAGGCAGCAATTTGTGTGCAGAGTAGAGAATTATAGTGCTCGAGGGTCTGTTTTAAGGCCTCCCTCAATGTCTTCAGAAATTACTCTTTACACCAGGATAGGAAGAAGCAGAAGTGATAGGGACCATGACAGAAATATAGAGAAGTCACTTCATAGACACCAATCCACGGTTAAGGGCTAAATAAATAACAAAGAGGTGTGACAATACTCTGCGATTGCATTTCAACAGGAGACTACAACCTAGCCAGAGACCGTCTGAGAACAAGGGTGATGATAATGAGAATTCATGGTCAAAAGACAATGAGTCATGGGTGAGGAGAGTCTGAAGCTTCTAGAATAAGCTACCTGAATATTTCATTTTGTGTGTTTTTGCAACGAATGTGTCAGAGCTCAGCATTTCACTGTGGTCTTCCATGTTGATCTATCGCCTGAGCAGTGACACGGTGGCTTGTTCTTACAGAAGAACTTACAGAAGCTGTGCAGATGGTTTCCCTAAGTTACTCCGGTAGTTCCCCCTTTATGTTACTACAGTAGTAACCGTGATGTAGTTAGCCCAGGTACAGTATAACAAGATATTTTGAAAGCAAAGGAGGACAAACACATAGCATTTATCACAGTATATTGCTATAATTGCTCTATTTCATTGTTGCTGTTAATTTCTCCTTGTGCCTAATTCCTAAGTCAAACTTTATTCCAGGTATGTATATATACATAAAAAAAGTTGTGTAAAAAAAAAAAAATTAAAGGGACCAGCAGTTGGAAGAATGGCTACATCGCTGGACTCCCATGTGGTCAACTGTGATTCAAGTCCTGGACCCGGTGGCTTAAATTCATGCCAGGCACATGTGCATGCGTGTCCAAGATCCCAAGAGGAGAATGGAGGAGAAGGGACTGTAATGTGGCCATCTCCCCGGGGGAGGGTGATTTCTCGCTTTCTATCTCCCTATCTCTCTCTGTCTTTCTGGCAAGCACACGTGCTCAATAGCAAAAACCTATAAAAAAAAATGTAATGTATTTAGTGTTCAGTACCACCTGTGGCTTCAGGGCATCCATCAAGGGTCTAGAATGTATCCCTCACAGATAAGGGGACTACTGTGCTTTTACCTCCTTTCAAAGTATTCCTCATCCTTACATAATTCTGATCTGATTTATTTCCCCCATCACTTCTAGCCACACTATATTGTTGGATTTTTGCTTAATTTTAATTTTCAGAACATGTATCTAGTTTTAGTGCCAAAAGCCCTTTCATTCATCTAAATCTAAGTCACTCTTATAAGCTAGCATATAACATGTGCTTCCTGTTCTGTTTTTGGTTCAAGGTTGAATCTCCTCTTATTTCTCAGAATTCATCACCTTTACTTAGTTAAAGTAGGAAACATTTTTACTGCGATCCTTTGACAATCATCCTTAATCAGGAAGGCCATAGACTTTTTGAAAATTGAGAGTGGGGACCACCAGATGGTGTAATGGTTACGTAGCCAGGCTGCCATGCACTCAAGCACAGTTTGAATCTCGGATCCAGTGACTTAAAACTCACCTTGGGCACATGTGCATGCATGCCCAAAATCCCAAAAGGGAATGGAGGAGAAGGGATTGCGGTGTGGCCATCCTCCCTGGGAGGTGATTTCTCACTTTCTGTCTCTCTGTCTCTCCAACAAACACATGCCTTATAGCAAAAATTTCTCAAAAAAAGAAAAGAAAAGAAAAGAAAATTGTAGGATCTACAATGTCCTCATAATTCTTTTGTGATACCCTCCCAATTGTTGATAATTTTTATCAATTAGGCCAAATATGATTATCCAAATCCCAGCTTTAGTAGTGACTGCTTTTACATGATGACAAAGGATGAATAAACTGTTCCTTCAAATACGTGTCATAGATAAGATCCTTTGTGCCAAATGTGTCTGGAGAAAAGGCTCCAGGCACAGCAAACTACGACTGCTTGTGTAGAAATTAACGTAGCATTCCCCAAAAGGGTGGCAGCTAAGAGATTATGTGATTATATATGTCCAGGTCCATATTTCTAAAGCTGACCACCATTTCAGCATAACATTGCATTTAAATATGTGATTCAATGCATGCCTAGCCTTCTGGAGGAGCTGGGCAGTCATAGTAAATTAGACTCCATAGTCAAAGCATAATGGTGATATAGCTCTCCTTCATCCACTGGCCATGACAGAGAGCACATACCTCGTTTCTTCTGCCCAAATCTTATGTCTTTCTTTTCTTTCATTTTCTGTATTTCTTTATTAGTTCTGTCATTATTTTTCCTTAAGTCAGTGTTTTTTCTTTCTTTCTTTCTTTCTTTCTTTCTTTCTTTCTTTCTTTCTTTTTTTTGAGATTTTTTTGCTATAGGGCACATGCACTCACCAGAAAGACAGAGAGAGACAGAGAGACAGAAAGCAAGAAATCACCCCCCAGGGGGGATGGCGACACCTCAATCCCTTCTCCTCCATTCTCCTCTTGGGATCTTTGGCACTCACACACACGTTCCTGGTGTGAGTTTAAGCCACAGGGTCCGGTACTTGAACCATGGTCGATGACATGGGAGTCCAGCAACATAGCCATTACACCAACTGCTGGCCCTTAGTCAATGTTTTGTAATATATCCAAGCATTGTTTTTCCAGTTTTATTTGTACCAAGGGAATTTGGGATCTTTCCTTCAATTTGTCTTACAATTCCTTCTCCATTTTTTCGTTCTGTCAGAATTTGGGGGCATGCACACATTAGTGCCAGCATGTTTTTAAAGCCTCCTGGGCCACGACTTGAACCATGTTGCCATATGGGTTCTCGCTCCTTTACCCACTGGCTGTGAGGCTGAACCTAGCCCCATTTTAACCCTTGCTTTTGGAGAAAATCAAGCAGTTTAGAATAATGATAATATAATTTTATTAGGTTCTTGTACACTAGTTTCGTGAAGTAGCCCAAACTGAGTAAATACAAGATAATTACAATTAAAAACTCAATTTTTTGAGCACAGTAGAAGCCATCTGCATTACATATAGACAAATATCTCAAATAGGTAACAAAAAGGGACAGTGCTTTGACTTTGTTATTAGAATTTTACCGAAATGATCTTCTTCTCATGGTACCTTTGAATAATGCATTCTTTTTATAATTTTTTTTTTGGAGAGATTTTCGCTATAGGGCGCGTGCGCTCACCAGACAGAGAGAGACATAGAGACAGAAAGCGAGAAATCACCCCCCAGGGGGGATGGTCACGCCGCAATCCCTTCTCCTCCATTCTCCTCTCGGGATCATGGGCACGCATGCACACGCGCCCGGCGTGAGTTTTAAGCCACCGGGTCCGGTACGCAAACCGCGGTTGACTACGTGGGAATCCAGCGACATAGCCATTACGCTAACTGCTGGTTCCCAATAACGCATTCTTCATTGTCCTCCAGTGAGGAAATCCCATGAAAATTTCTCTCTCTTAGTGCTTGAGTTATTATTATAACTATTATCATTATAATAATAGCTTTCTTTAACACCATCTCAATATTCCATCAATGATATTTTATAAATTTACAATAACAGATATGGCCCCCAACTCAGCTAATAAATTTTTCAGCTCCAAGAATCCTAGATAAGAGCTCTTAACCCTCTTCCTGTCTTTATATTGGGTAGTCAGAAGAGTCATGATGTATTTTTGCTATGTTTTTCTAATGTAATGGCAAAAATGTGCCATGACTTTGCCAATGACCCAAATCCATACATATTTTATCAGTGAACGAATGTCACAGTTAGTGCAAAAGAGCAGGTAACTACTCGGTGGTGGGTAAAGGCAATCGCTTTTAAAATTCTGGTCAATCTGTTGAAATGAGACTGCTGGCCAAAGATTCTTGAACTCCAGACTCATTGATTTTAGGGTCTTAGAATGCGCTAAGAGCTAAAAAGCAAAGAGCTTACTTTTACTGCAGGTCTAGAGAAGAGACGAGTGATAAACACCAGAGAAAACTGGGAGGACACACAGAAAAGGTGGCAGGAAGAGGGAGAAGGGGAGATCTAGGGAGAGAGAAGTATGGGCAAATGCCCACATTTACTTACTTATCTGGCTTTGACTTTGTTATTAGAATTTTACCGAAATGATCTTCTTCTCATGGTACCTTTGAATAATGCATTCTTTTTATAATTTTTTTTTTTGGAGAGATTTTCGCTATAGGGCGCGTGCGCTCGCCAGACAGAGAGAGACATAGAGACAGAAAGCGAGAAATCACCCCCCAGGGGGGATGGTCACGCCGCAATCCCTTCTCCTCCATTCTCCTCTCGGGATCATGGGCACGCACGCACACGCGCCCGGCGTGAGTTTTAAGCCACCGGGTCCGGTACGCAAACCGCGGTTGACTACATGGGAATCCAGCGACATAGCCATTACGCTAACTGCTGGTTCCCAATAACGCATTCTTCATTGTCCTCCAGTGAGGAAATCCCATGAAAATTTCTCTCTCTTAGTGCTTGAGTTATTATTATAACTATTATCATTATAATAATAGCTTTCTTTAACACCATCTCAATATTCCATCAATGATATTTTATAAATTTACAATAACAGATATGGCCCCCAACTCAGCTAATAAATTTTTCAGCTCCAAGAATCCTAGATAAGAGCTCTTAACCCTCTTCCTGTCTTTATATTGGGTAGTCAGAAGAGTCATGATGTATTTTTGCTATGTTTTTCTAATGTAATGGCAAAAATGTGCCATGACTTTGCCAATGACCCAAATCCATACATATTTTATCAGTGAACGAATGTCACAGTTAGTGCAAAAGAGCAGGTAACTACTCGGTGGTGGGTAAAGGCAATCGCTTTTAAAATTCTGGTCAATCTGTTGAAATGAGACTGCTGGCCAAAGATTCTTGAACTCCAGACTCATTGATTTTAGGGTCTTAGAATGCGCTAAGAGCTAAAAAGCAAAGAGCTTACTTTTACTGCAGGTCTAGAGAAGAGACGAGTGATAAACACCAGAGAAAACTGGGAGGACACACAGAAAAGGTGGCAGGAAGAGGGAGAAGGGGAGATCTAGGGAGAGAGAAGTATGGGCAAATGCCCACATTTACTTACTTATCTGGGAAGGAAGTCGTGGGGTACGAGGACTGGTCAAAAATCTAAGACGAGTTTGTTAGTGCTCGATACAGAAATTAATAGACTGACGTAGTTCAAAGAGGGCCAGTCAGCCGTGTAAAACATTGTAGCTGTCAGACTGAAGACTGAACTTATTTGTCAATAGTTTATTTCTCTCTAAGTAGTCTTAGAAAATAAATCGTAGAGGATATTTTTATTATGTCGGAAAGAGATAGCAAGATTGCTTACTGAGATAGCAAGATCTGTGTTGTAAAAGAGACAAGTAATGGAATTTCTTAAAAACTGGGCAGAAAAGTTTCAATAGAAGCAATAGATACACAGACTTTCAGTCAAAAATCAGTATTTATTTGAGTTGTCCTAAATTATCTACTCGTTCTTTGTGCAATAATAGATGTATAACTAACCTCTTTAGTTGTTGAGAACAAAAAATATTGGATTATATATTTACGTTCTTTTTCCTTTTTTTTTCAGTATCCAGTGATCACCCTTACGGTAAGATAACTCCTAACTGAAGAACTGCTTTACTTTTTGAACATCCCCCCAAACCTCAAAATCAGAAGGCAGTTTATAGAGAAAAATCGTCTATTTAAATTGACACAGAATTATTTGTTTTATGCCATCATAGAAGGAATAGAAATGTTTTCTTTTGTCCATGCAGTTTCTATTAGCGTTCATCTAATACTGACTAAAGGCAGGTTTGATTTCATTTCATTTCATGCTTATCATTGAATGAACACAGATGGAAGAGTAACTAATTCTCGCTGGGAAATAAGAGGACTCTCTCATGTTTTGAACCAGTAGGTTAGAATCTGAGCAATTGGGAGGCTCCTTACCAAAATTTTATGATGTTTGAAAAAAATTCAACATGCAACAAAATATACTCTCTTCGTTCTTAGGATCCACAAGGTAACCGCATACAACAGTGGGTGAATGAGGAGTCTGTGAGGGGTATCATTCAGCTCTCCTTCCAGTTAATCTCAGAGCCCATCCTTGGGTGGTATCAAATCACCGTGGAGACGTTCTCTGAAAAGAAAATATACCAGTCCTTTTCAGTGGAAGAATATGGTAAGTAGTAGCAATGATACCATTACCAATGAATAAGAAAAATAACAAAATCTGTACAATGTTGTAAAGGCATGATTATACAGTAACATATGAACTGTGTGTGTGTGTGTGTGTGTGTGTGTGTGTGTGTGTGTCTCCTGAATCTCTGATACTATTTTAAGATTCTCTGTCTACTCTACTTTTTGTCTTCTAGTTCAGGTCATAATCTTTATGCAATTCTCTGTTAAACTAAGATATTCAGTCTCTTCCTTTTGTGAAATCCGGAATCCAGTTTATGTTGGCTTCCGGGATGTTAACTATCTCCTTATTTCACATTTATGCTTCAAAATACTTTCTATAGAATGGGAGATATTAACTTAGTTATGTAAGAGGTGTTCTCTTTATATCGTCTTATTAAATCCTCATAAACATTCTATTGTAATAGCACTATTCCCTTTTCACATATGAAGGCTTTGAGATTCAGTTTCCTGAGTTTAACACCTGAGAAGTTATCAGCTGGGAATTTGAATCTGCATTTTCTTATACAATTCCAAAACCCAGTTCTTATGTGTCCTCCTAACTTAACTATTAGCAGAAAATACATGCAAAGGGTCCATGGTTGGTAAAGAAGAAAGCAATTGCTTCATATGAATGTATTTAAGGTAATAAGATTTTTTTTTTCTTTCACTGACAGTGTTACCCAAATTTCAACTGACCGTGGATGCACCAGAAGAGATCTTAGTCGTGGACTCTAAATTCAAAGTCAATGTTTGTGCTACGTAAGTTTATATTGTATCCAATAAAATGGTTTAGTCATAGAAGGATTTTAAAATGAAATGAAGATAGCTAAAAAGAAGTAAAAGGAAAATGTATAGAAGGCCAGGCAAAGGGAAAGGATGAAATTATACTGCTGATGTTTACGAAGTTTTGTCATCCACCAGTGATTATGTGAACATGTGGGATTTCAGGGACCAGTTTTAAACTGCTCACTACTGTCTTACATCACAACACGCTGCTTTGCGCCATTTCATACAGCAGCTATTGGTCACGTGGCTATTCAAGTTTCAATTAATTAAAGCATACAAAATTTAAAATTCAGTTCTTCTCTTGTGCTAAGTCACATTTCAAGTGCTCACTAGCCACATGTGACCAGTGACTATCAAACTGAATATGGACATAGACCAACACCCTCACCCCGGAAAGCTCTATTGGACACTATCATGGGCCTACTCTCGCCTCTCAGTTCAATTGTTGTATACTAAATGATTGTGGAAAAACACAAACCAACTGCTGTACGAGTTGGAAGTGACTCTGGGCTAATTCTCCTGCACTGTGTGAAGGCTATCAGGGCAGCGGGGACTTTGGAGCAAATACCAAGAAGCTCAGTTGGTGCATGGCAGACGCAGCAATCAGGCAGCTGGAGCTGTCTTGCCCTCCCCATCACTACTTAAGCCGCAGCACCTGCAGAGCAATGACTGTGAGAGAGGAAGTGTAAGCTCTGTCTTCTCGAAGCTCATGTGAAGATTCATTCTTTCCTTGACTACACGTCAAATCTCACATGTGTTACACCACTTGTCCTTTTCATTCTGGATCATTGATAATAAAAGTGACCCTGGGGTTTGTAGTTACAAAGGGAGTTTTATTATAGCATTCTAACATTCCACCCTGAACACTGAAGTTAAAGCTTTGGCTGGCCTCCAGCTGCGCCTGCGATAGGTTGGAGTCTGGAACAGTAGAGAAGGATCGTGGCTAACTTTTCAGGGCTCCCGTCTGGTGTCAGCTCCAGGGTTGGAGTGGGAGGAGACACACGAGGCAAGGGACAGGAACGTCTCTTATTTGGGTTGTGGAAGCAGGGAATGGCCAGCAGAACTAGAAACACCCCTGAGGAATAAAACTCCCCAAATCCAGATGTCTGCCACTGCCCTACAACTCAACTGTCTGTCATTTGTGCTAGAGCAATATTGCAAAAAGCAAGACAAGGCACTTAGGACAAGGCACTCGGAATCCCAAAGCAGAAACATGAAGCACTAAATGGTTGACGGCTCTAAGCATTTCAAATCAAAATATAAGCTATAAATGTTCTGAGCAATGTATACCTGAGAAAAAAGTTAAAGGTCAACCAGAACAAAAATTTAGAATCATGGGGCTGGCAGATAGTGTGGTGGTTTAAGGTGCTGGACTCCCATATGACCAACAGCGGTTCAAGTCCTGGACCTGGCAGTTTGTGTTCTCCCATTCCCTTTTTCTCTTTCTCTATCTCTCTCTGGACAAATTAAAATAACAACAATAATAATAATAATAACAAATACAGTAATATAAATAATTTTTTAAAATTTAGAAACACGTAAAATGTAGGTACTCATAGGTTGGTCAATAGTGTCTTTCTAAAAATAAAGACTTTGAATTCACATATTGATATTAAAATAAAAATATCTGGAAGGGCTGACTAGAAGGCTGGATGATATTAAAGCAAGAGTTAGTGACTTGGAAGATAAAATTGATAAATTGCTATAAAATGAGCCCAGAGCAACACTGTTATTCCTTACAGACAGTTTTGTTCTTTGCCCTAACTATTGTTAGATTTCTTTTAACAATGAAAATATATTATACACTTCTATGTAATTAAAATAAATTTAGCTCATGTTTTAAGAGTAAAAATGATAAAAATTAACATATGCTCATTTTGGCATATTTTAAACACAGAAAAATTAAAAGAAGTAAAGCATTATACTAAGAAATTACTCAATGACTTCCGTATATCTTTTCTTTATTATTGTTTTCCTTTATTCACATTGTGTTTTAGTGACTTAGATAGCAACTTCCACATGTTGTCCAGTTCAACCTTTTTAAAAAATTTACCTCTTTTTAAAGAATTATTTTATTTAACTTTGTTTATTTATTTCAATTTGACCAGAGAGTGACAGAGAGAGAGGGAAAATGAGAAACAAATCGCTAGATCTGGGACTCAAACCACAGTCGGCCAAGTGGGAGTCCAGTGCCCTTAACTACCACGCCTTTTAAATTAATTCAACCTTTTAAATTAATATCTCCCTTTGCCTAAAGCATTCAAATTGATTTTAGTCACTACCATTGATTTGATTTGAGGTAATGGGTTATTGAAATGTAGTTACAATGATGGTTTTAGCCACTAAAGAACAGATTTCAAAACGGCCTATACATATTAATAATTGCATTGACTTCTATAATTTTATTGTCTTTTATATTCTTCTATTAGTTATACCTATGGCAAACCTGTAGATGGGAAGGTTCTACTGAGCGTGTGCAGAAAACCCTCTTTTTACGGTGATTGTAAATATCTTCCCACTGCACTCTGTAAAAATTTTACCACTCAGGTAAGAAATAGATCTGTAAAATCATAAATAAATTTGCATTTAACTTGTATTTACCTTTCTTATTTCCCTCTTTACAATAAAAAAATAGTTTGTTTCTACATCTCTATTCCTGTTTATAAATTTTCTATTTTCTTTTGTCTTGCTAATTTCTCATTTTCTATTGATGAATAAAAAGCAAATCATAGCATTTTAAAGCTCAGTAGTAAATTTCAGTTCTTAATTACAAATAAATTTGATTCCATGCCAAAATTTACATTCTACCAATATACTAGAAACATGGTATATCCCCCACTTTCTACTGTGAGGATTTAGTCGAGATTTAGAGAGAAGATACCTAGGTGTACTCCAGATTATTCAAGGGGTGCTTATTTTCTCTCAGTCTGTTCCCACAAAAAATAACTACATGTAGGAGCCCTAGATAAAGTATATATCAGTCCGTGCTCTTCACTACTAACTAAAAGAATCAACCTCTGCAAATTTACAAAGGAGCAATTTCCTAAAAGGACCTGTGTGGACGATTTGAGAACCAGCATCAGAAAATGGGCAGAGTGACTGGGCTAGGATGTAGCAAGGACTTCAGTTAAAAGCATACAGTCTGGCTAGCTAATATACAACTGCCAGCTACTATCCCCACATCACAGTGTAGCACCACTTACACACACACACACACACAGAGTCATGTATTTCTGTTTTCCCTCGAGGAGACTTTTGATGAGAAATAATTAGGAAACTACTGGTTCTCAAAATGAAAACTCATATTTGGATAATAAGCTAAAATGATAACAATTATAACTAATATTTGAAGGACGCTTTCTATGTGTTAAGCACTGGGCTAAGTAGTTTACGTGTATTTAATTCTGAAAGCAATCCTCTATGTAGGGCATTGTCATTTTCACTCCATTTTTAGATAGGTGGATTTAAGCAGTCAGAGGTCCACTGCATTGCTCAAGAGTATATATTTAAATAATTAGTGGGATTGTATCCTCAAGCATTTCAGAGGATATACAAGTTATTAATTTACTCACTAAACAAATAAATACTGAGGTCCCTTACTATGTAAGCATTATTGATTTAGGAGCTGCAGCATTGAACAATTCAGACCTAGTCCCCACCCTCATGGGGACTGCTGTGTGTGGTGCAGTTATCTTTTAAAAGTGCACTCCAGAAGAATGAGCCAACCTGAGCCAAACGCACAGGGAAAATATAGCTCCAACTAGACTCTCAAAGAAGGTTATAGTATAGAGAGGACTTTCAGGAGATTTGAGATATCTGCAAAGTTAAAATACACATTTACACATGTAAAGCAGAGTATAGACTAAATGACTTATCTAATTATTCACCCTGAAGTCCAATGAACATTTTTCTGGACCTTTAAGTTTGTGGATATGGTACTAGACCTTCCAGGAAAGGCCATGCCACAGCTCCTTCCCCTCCATTGTCTTCCTGGGACCTTGGATACACACACCCGTGAGCCCAGCATAATTTTCAAGCCACCAGATTTAGGACTTGAACTGTGGTCAGCCATGTGGAAGTCCAGTGTCTTAACCACCACACCACCTGCTGGACCTCATTATGGCATTCTTAGAATTGCTTCCCAGAGGTTATACATTTTCTTATACTGCTAGTTCTTTTTAAAATTTAACTTTCTTATTGTTATATTAATTTACTTTTCAGTTAAGAAAGGATGGCTGTGTCTCCCAGTTCATCAGCACGGATGGTTTTGAGTTACATCGGGAAGGATACTGGAGTTACCTTCATGTGAATGTTCATGTGACAGAAAACGGAACAGGTAACGCTCTGTAAGCAGTTTGACCGCAGTTATTGTCACCCTCCCACTTGAATTGTTGTCTGGTGGCCAGCTACGCAATGTTAAAATGGTCGATTTTTTCCCCAGGGTTTGTCATCAGTTTTTCGGATCCAAAGTCTGAATGTTTCTTGTTTCAACTAAAATTCATTAGCTACCTATGGATGGATAGTCAAATATAAAAATCAAATGGACCTAAACTAAGAGTCAGAGTGCCAACTTCTTTGTGCATAATGAGACTGTCTGCTTTTAGATATCAGCACATTCCCACTCCTCAATCATCCCATGCATAAATATAACTGAGAAATACAATTGGCAACTATAAAAATTTTTGGTGACCATAAAATCAAGACAAGGAAGGCTGAATAGTTTGGGGGAAATACTTTTACAAACCTCTAAAAGGAAATCCAGTGAGATAGCTTTACCCCAAAGCCAAGATTTATGTCTAATGTCTAGTTTCTTGTATCTCCCTACTACTTCCGTTTCTCCCTGAAGCAGAGAATGATCAATTTTATGCCTTGAAGTGCTCTTTTTTCTATGCGGACCACTTCTTTTCTGCTAATGTAGTGTTTTTAAACTTATATATAACTGATATTTCAGTGAAATTTTGCTCATGAGCTATGAAACACTAATGTACTTGTATCAATAATCAACGTTTTTTGTTGTTAAGAGAGATTTTTGCTATAGGGCATGTGCACTTGCCAGAGACAGAGAGATATAAAAACTATCCTCCAGGAGGATGGCCATGCTGCAATCCTGTCTCCTCCATTCTCTTCTCGGGATTTTTTTTTTTTTTTTTTTTTTGGAGAGGTTTTTTGCTATAGGGTACATGCACTCGCCAGACAGACAGAGAGAGACAGAGAGACAGAAAGCAAGAAATCACCCCCCATGGGGGCTGGTCAAGCCGCAATCGCTTCTCCTCCATTCTGCTCTCAGGATCTTGGGCACACACGCACACACGCCCAGCGTGAGTTTTAAGCCACCGGGTCCGGGACGCGAACCATGGTCGACTATGTGGGAGTCCAGCGACATAGCTATTACGCTAACTGCTGGTTCCCAGGATTTTGGACATGTACACACACATGCCTGGCCTGTTTTAAGTCACTGTTCTGGGACTTGAACCACAGGCAGCCATGTGGAAGTCCAGTGACATAAACATTATGCCATCTGCTGGTCTCATATTCAAAGTTTTAAAGACAGGGCCAGCAGATGGTGTAACAGGTACATTGCTGGGCTCTCACATGGCAGACCATGGTTTGAGTCCCCAACCTGGTGGCTTAAAACTAATACCAGAAGTATAGGAGGTTTTGGCCAAGATCCTGGGAGAAGAATGGAAAAGAAGGAATTATGGCATGGCCATCCCCCATGGAAGGTGTTTTCTTACTTTCCCTATCTGTCTATTTCTCTCCAGTGAGTATGCACGCCCTAAGGTAAAAATCTCTATAAAAAAACAATAAATGTTTAAAAAGCATATGTCATATCCAGAGGAAATTCAAGCATCTAATTAATAATTAAACATATTGTCACATTGAACCAAATAAATAATGAGAGACTAACTTAAGAAGTGATAATAACAGGACCAGCAGTAAGCATAATGGCTATGTTGCTGGACTCCCATGTTGTCAACCACGGTTCAAATCCTGGACCCGGCGGCTTGAATTCATGCTAGGCACATGTGCATGCATGCCCAAGATCCCAAGAGGAGAATGGAGGAGAAGGGATTGCGGCATGGCCAACCCCCCTGGGGGGTGATTTCTCACTTTCTGTCTCTCTGTCTCCTTCTGTCTTTCTGGTGAGTGCACGCGCCCTATAGCAAAAACCTCTCCAAAAAAAGAAAAAAAAAAGTGATAATAACATATTTAATGAGGAATTTTATACTTCATAATATAATGTTAATAAAAGTAACATAAAATGACATAAACATTTACATGTATAAATAAGTGCGTGTGTGTATATATGTATATATGTATGTGTTTATATGCATATATGTATATATGGATATGTTTACATACGTATACATATAAACACATATATAATCCAAAATATATTAATATAAATAATAAATATAAAAGTAATAAAAAACTTTTAGGAAAAAGAGCAAAATGTTAATACGGGTTATTCTGAAGATATTTGGTGTCTGTATTTGATGTCATTTGTATTTTCTTCTTTAAACTTTTCAATTTTTTAATTATATGTATATGATAAAAGTTTTAAGCAGGCAAAGGGTACAAGATATGTTATTAAACAATTACCAATAATGACAAATCAGCAAGGTCCTAAACCCTTGTTAAAGAATGGTTCATAATGGGAACCAGCAGTTAGCGTAATGGCTATGTCGCTGGACTCCCACGTAGTCGACTGCGGTTCACGTCCCGGACCCGGTGGCTTAAAACTCACGCCGGGCGCGTGTGCATGTGTGCCCAAGATCCCGAGAGGAGAATGGAGGAGAAGGGATTGCGGCGTGACCATCCCCCCGGGGGGTGATTTCTTGCTTTCTGTCTCTATGTCTCTCTCTGTCTGTCTGGCGAGCGCACGCGCCCTACAGTGAAAATCTCTCCAAAAAAAAAGAATGGTTCATAAAATGGGTACTCTATGAAGGGTGAAAACAGCAGCTGAGAATGACAAGCTTTGTCTATATTTTTCACATTTTTCATTAACTTTCTTTAAAAGAGATAGCTGAAGACGTATCTGTGTATTAAAACTGTTTAGGAAAGGGGAATTATTTAAAGATGGTGAGTTTTTGTGATTTTTTTTCCTGGAGCTCCAATTTCAGCATTTTCCTAATAAAACTTAATTGCAGGTGAACAGCTTACGAGGTTCAAGTCCATAAACATAGACTCATCGATGGTGAAGATCACATTTGAGAACATGGATACATTCTACAAACAGGGACTCCCTTACTTTGGCCAGGTAAGAGAAGCAATAACTTCTCTACATCCCTATTCAGCCATCTTTCATTCACTCAATTATATACAACAGCTATTTTCTGAGATATGCCTATGTAAGAAGCTCTGTTTTTAAACATTGTATGTAACCTGAGCTGTAGGTTTTCACAACTTCCTCCTGGTTTATGACTTTTGTCAAGTTGAAACCATTAAGAATGTCCTATTCCACTCCCAAAATGTCCCAGTTTGAACAATAAATTATACAGTCTGCATCAGTATTAGGAATAAAATGGTGAAGTACACAGGCCCCACTATTCCTGCCCTTGTGGAGTTCATAGTCTAACAGGGAAAGTAGCTATTAAACAAATAATCTGGACTCCCACATGGTCGACCATGGTTCAAGTCTCAGACCTGGTGGCCTCAAAATCAAATTGTGTGTGTGTGTGTGTGTGTGTGTGTGTGTGTGTGCCCGAGATCCTGGGGAGGAGAATGGAGAAGGGATTGTGACACGGCCATACCCCTTGGGGGTGATTTCTTGCTTTCTATCTCTCTCTGTCTCTCTGGTGAGTGCACATGCCCTACAACAACAAAAAAAATCTCTCTTAAAAATAATAATTTTACAAGTAATTATTTAATTATAGTCATGGCAGTTTCTATCAGTGAAGCACTGACCATTGAACCATTCAATAAAGGGACTGGCAAACCACAGTATATGGGCAAATTCCAGCAAAGCCTGCCTTTGCACAGCCAGTACACTAGGAATGGTTTCAACATAGTCCAAAGATTATTTTTAAAAGTCAAAGAACAATATCAGGAGGAGATTATATGTGACCTTGCAAAACCTAAAATAATTACTATTTTGCTCTTTCCAGAAAAAGTTTAGTAAACTTTGGAGTAAATGGTCATGGAAAGTTATCCTGAGAAAGTAATCGTTTAGACACTAATAGACTACTAGAATACTAATATTACTAATACAAATATACAAACAGTAATATTAGAACATTAGTAAAGAATTACAAAAATTGGTTTCCTGAATGAGAGCCTATAGACCAGGGTTCTCAAATTCCTTCTTCTACCAGAATCCCCTATAAGGCTTGTCAAAATAAATTGCAGTAAAAGCCATTTTTATCATGTATCTGATGATATGTCTTATGGTGCCTTTTGTTAAAAAGAAAAAATCTTTCACTTGATTTTAATTAAATTATTCAGTTTTCACTTTACATTGTGTGCTTTATGGGGCTCATTTAAATAAATCTTTCCTTATTAAACTATTAGAGAAATACTCCTTAACATCCTCTTGTATCATTTTATACATTTCATTTTTTTATTATTGACAACTTCTAATCTATTAAAAGTTATAGAAAATAATATATTAACCACCATGAACCATGACCAAGCTAATGTACCATTATAAACTCATAACCAACCTTATTTCACCCATATACCTGCCAACTTACCTCTCCTCAGAATACTAGCAACATTCTATTACTAATATGTGTCCCCAACATGTGGGAATTCTTTAAAATATTACCTTAATTCATCATTCAATTTTCAAGTTCTCCAACTGTGATTTTTAAGTACATTTTCAGTTAATTACAACAGGTAGAAATAAGATCTATACATTCTAGCAGTTGATATGTGTCTCAATCTATTTAAGGTTGGCAGGATCCTTGTTCCCCTCCCGCTTGTTTTTTGGGTATTTTTTGTTGTTGTTTTTGTTTTTTTTTTTTTTTGGAAATGCACTTACTGAAGAAACTGTAAAAAATTTGGTTCAATATGCCCTTGCAGTTTTCCTGAGGCTTAATTTTTCTGACTGCTTCTGACATTTTTCTCAGTATCTAGGCCAGTGTGGAACATTTTAGAGCACTCTTCTTACCTACATCTACAGCCACAGTAACCTGAAAGAATTGTTTCACTCACTCTCAGCTCATTTTCTGCAAAATACCTTCTGCTTCAATATTCCCACCTTATTTCTGGCACCCATCATTTTCCTGTTGGGTACAGTAAGCCCCCGTGCTTTTTCTTGGTTGGCCTTTGCAGATCGATGCATCGCTTGCCCTATCTGCATGGCCTTTAGAGTCATTCAGTTTCATCCTAAGCCCTGATCTTATATAAGTAATAATAATAATAATAATAATAGTCTCAGCGTTCCAGAGGTTATGGACCTGTAACTCCTTGCCTTTATGAACCACACAGCAGTTCTAATTTTAGTCCACCTAGAGCAGAAGGATCCTTTGAGTACTTTCTAGTCACAAAGAAGGAACAAGCCATGTGAGGACTTCCCTTTGTAGTCTTTGTCCCACACTCACTTAGTGCTCAAAAGCAGTAACAAGCTCATTGCAGACTTTAGGGGCCAGGCATACAAGACTCCCTTAGACATTTCTTGTGGCCAATGAGCTCGTCACGTGTCCCATACATTGAAACAATCATTTCGGCCATCTCCCAATGCAACTACTGTCACTTGTGGAGAAATTCTCCTGAGCTCACAGCCTTGCCCTCCTTCTATGGCAGACACAACTACTTTGGAGCTTTACCTCTGAGGCCTTAAAATGCACAGAAGACACATAAAAAGCAGACAGACCTCTATTCTGGCAACAGAGTACCCTTTAAAGGACCCGGCCCTCCATAATACCGAGCCACGTGTTTGATGACCTTATTGCTACAAATGCCCTCAGTCATTTCCGGTAGGGCAGCTACTGCAGCAATGAGCACCATCACAGAGACCTCCCTCCCCTTCCGAAAGCAGGAAAGGAATAACTGGCTCCTATGGGCACAGTTTCAGGAGGTGATGAGAGCATTTTCCACCATGATAGATCAAAAACCCAGAAGAGACCACCCTGTACAACTGTACTGTTTCATTTTTATTTGTGGTAAAACGCATGCACCTATGAGGGAGAGGGAGACGACACCCTCAACAAGCTCTGGCCATGCCGTGATCCCCTTCCTCCAGTCCTCCAGTCTGACAGAGCCTGGGCACTCTTGCACTTGCCCAGAGTGTTTCAGGCAGGGATTCGAACCACAGTTGCCATGTGGGATCTGATCTGGCTTCTCTTGAGCAGTTCAGTACTGCTGCCTGATGGGAACTGGTCCTATAACCATAATTCTGAACTAAAACATGTCATTGCTTGAGACCCACAGCCTATGGCTGCCATGGGTCCACCTAAAATGATCAAGGAGATGAGAGCTCTTATGTTGACCTCCAAGAAGAACGAACTCATTCAAATGCTACCAGAGGAGACGTGTCCACACAGGATAACTGCACCTGTGTTAGGGTAGAGCACACTGCTTTGTCCAAAGATGCCTGATTCATGTAGGTGCCATCTGTCCCCCACCCTTGTGATGAATTAGGATTCAGCTGACCTTCCTAATTCTCTGCCAGAAGAGATTCTTAAGGATCCTAATCACACAGTAGATAATACTGCACTTTGATGTGTCAAGAGCCTTTGGGCGGGATTGGGGAGGAGCAGGACCTTAGTGGCTAAGCTAGGACTAAACGTGACATGACATACTTAAATACTGGTTCCTATGCTAGAGAGAACAGGAACGAAATCACTGAACTAACTCTGAAGTATCTAGGAAGATTTTACAGAATTACTGCTAACTTTTTAGATATAATAATAGGATTTAGATCATATTTTTTAGTCTCCAACATTAGCCTTGATTGAGAATCACTGTTTTAACAATTACAAAACTCAAATTTTATTCGTTCTCAGTTTATTAGTTAAAAAACTTTGTCCTCCAGTGGCCATTTGGCAATGTCAGGGGACACTCTGGTCTGGCACAGATAGCAGTGGGATGTGCTGCCGGCATTCAGTGGCAGGGGCATGGGTGTTGCCGGGCACCACCACACACAGGTGAAGACCGCAGTAAAGTATTATCTGGCCCAAAATGCCAACAATGTCTGTGCTAGGAAAGAGTAGTCTAGAGAAATAATGCAATTAAATCATTATTATCAATGGCTACTAACACCCCAGTAAGAGAGATTAAAAGAGTACTTTTGCACTGCCTATGAAATATTCTTGTCTATCCTCCCACCATAAATGAGTTTAAGTCAGACCAACCGAGACCCCTAAATCTACCAGTTCACAGGAAATGCAATCACTTTATCTGCTATAAGCATGCCAGTTTCAGAAGGGGCTTTTAAAAGCTACCATTGCTTGTACGGGTAAGACAATGAAAAAGAAATGGTTTATTAAAGTATTTGTCAAAAGATTTTAGGGAGGAAAATGCTAAGTTTCACAATTTATAAAAGTTAGGTTGATGCCAGTCTAGAGAAAAGACAGGCAGAAGCAATACAAGAGAGAGATTGAATAGAAGAATGCATTTATAGGGGGGAAAAATGAAGAGAATTTGGACATAAATCAACAACAATAAGAATGAATCTGATCCATTGGAAATAGAAAAAGATACAATTGAAAAATATTTTCTCAACAACTGAAATTGGTGAGTGAAAAAAATTAAGAAGGTCTAGGTATCCCCGAATATTTGACTTTAGTAACTAAATGAATAGTTGGATGATTCACTGAGGTGAATGAGAAAGGGGAGAACATTGGGCATCGTAAAACATCATTTCATTTTGAAGATTTCTGCAGTATAATGCAAAAATAGTCAAGATACGGTTAAATACATGGACCTGTTTCCAGAGGTGTTTGTGGGCAGGAAAACTAGGGTTTAAGGTCATTCCATACTGATATATGACACAGACTCAAGGGGCTTAGGGACTCCCCAGGGAGTGCATACATGACAAGAAAAGAGTGCCACAACAGAACTTTGTTGGGTGCCAACAAAATCAACCCCCAAATTCACTAATTCCAGAAATTTCCTTTCTTTCTTTCTATAGATTAAACTGCTTCATCCAGACAACTCTCCCATCCCAAATGAAGTTATCCAGTTGCACCTGAAGGACAAAATTGTGGGCAACTATACCACAGATGCAAATGGCACTGCTCACTTTTCTTTGGACACATCTAAGTTTACATATCCAAATATCACTTTGAAAGTAAGTTAACCAAAACCCATCCTGTCTCTGTTGTTATAGAGTCACAAACAAAATTCTACAAAATTCTAAGAAATATTTTGAACATTACCTTTAAAATTGAGTATCTTTAAATTTTGGAAGTTGTTTATTAACTGTCAAGAACTATAGAGTATGAGCAAAAATTTTTTGATATCTAGAGCAAATGTTTGTGGAAAAATGTAAAAATAAATAAATGAATGAAAAAAAGAAAAGAAAAGAAGTTGGGCATAGGCAAGTAGAGAAAAAATCTGCATTTTAAAAATGCTCATATTTGGGACCAACGGATGGCATAATGGTTAAGTTGTTGTACTCCCACATTGTCAACCGCAGTTCAAGTCCCTGCCTCAGCAGCTTAAAACTCATGCTGGGTGCATGTGCATGCAGGTGTGTCCAAAATCCTGAGAGGAGAATGGAGGAGAAGGGATTGTGACATGGCCATACCCCCATGGGGGTGTTTTCTCACTTTCTCTCTCTCAGTCTTTCCAGAAAGCGCATGCACCGTAAAGCAAAAATCTCTCTAAAAATATTAATTTATGCTTGCATTTATAGAAAAGAAATGAATTTTGGTATGATAGAGTGCTGCAAAATCTTTAAATATTAAAGAAGTAGACACTATAAAAAATTAAAGAATTGTTTTATAAGTCCCGGGAAATGAAAAAAGAATGGCGTATATATTTAAGGATAAGAGAGAACTTCGAAAAGTTTATAGAAAAATTAGGTTAAAGTATGAGTTTATTTTGGTGCACAAAATTTGAAATCTATGCATAGTTTTTTTTCATAATATTCATTTTCCATAAATTTTTAAAGACACACACACCCACACACACACACACACACACACACACACAGAAGAGAGTTAACTGAAAATAAGCAACATTTCACTTTCATTGTGGAAATAGAATGAAAATTCTATTTTCATATTAATAGAAAGAAGTATTCTGGAAATTCTAATCTATTACCATGTAATGTAAAGAATTTCTCTGGATATACTCAGGAAGAAGTAAACTGTTATCTGTAATAATTAAATGTCAGTCCTTCCTTGAAATTTTTAAAGGACGCTTCCTCAAACTTTTATATTGATAATTATAAACTACAATTGTTTGAATGACCTACTTGTTATATTTCATAAAAACATTTTTACCTTTCAGCAAAACTTCATATGATACTATTAGTATCCAAGTTAACTTCTTCACAGGTTCTTTATATTATAGTAAAGGATTATTATAGTAAATATACTAATGTATTTGCTAATAAAAATATAACAGTAGTACAGAACACAGTAAAATATTTAAAGTAATATTGTTGAACTAGGACTTGAATAAACTATAAAGTGTAAAGACATATAGTTGTCCCTTTAGAGCATACCTAGAAATTGAGTGTGAGGAACTGGTCTAGAAAATGATCCTGAAAACTTTCTGTAGATACGGAGCAGCATGATAATAAACATCTTACAAATATTCTTTCACTTATCCTTTCTCTTTATCATAAAATATCTGTAAACTTATTCTTTGTCTAGGCAACCTACAAGGCCAGTGAAAATTGCAAGGCTGAGGGCTGGGTGTTGCCTCAATACCCTCAGCCAGAGTATTTTGTACCCAGATTTTACTCCAAGACCAACAGCTTCCTAAAGATTGTCCCTGAGATAGAAGAGCTGAAATGCAACCAACGGAAGCAAGTGATGGTGCATTATCTTCTCAACATGGAAGACTTTAAAGACAGAACTTACACGGCAGTCTTCAATTATTTGGTAGGAACTGAAAATGTTCTACAACCAAAATTGTTTCATAACTTTCAAACTTTTTTTTTTTTTTTTTGAGAGGTTTTTGCTATAGGGCACGTGCACTCGCCAGGAAGCCAGAGAGAGACAGAAAGTGAGAAATCACCCCCCGGGGGGACGGCCATGCTACAATTCCTTCTCCCCCATTCTCCTCTTGGGATCTTGGATACGCACCCACACACACCTGGCATGAGTTTAAGCCACCGGGTCCAGGACTCGAACCGTGGTCAACTACATGGGAGTCCAGCAACATAGTCATTGGGCCAACTGCTAGTCCTTTTTCAAACTTTTTTGAACCTAATATAAATCCTTTTCCCCATACAACATAAGGAAGTCCAAACTAAATATAAAACGTAAGACTCCTATAATTGAAGCTTACGTTTTAAGAAAGAAGAGTAGCCAAACAGGCCATGTCACCATAACCTCCAATCATGTGGGAGTCCAGTGCCTTAACCACCATGCCACCTGCTGGCCATGATTGGGTCTTCAAGGGGTTGTTTAGATGTTACCTGTCTCCCATTGTTTTGTAACTTCTATGAACTCGAGGTCCATGTTCTATTTGTCTATTGTTGTATACATTTACTTATTCTGGTGCACATCACATAGGAGACTCAATGCAATACTTTCTTTTTTTTTCCTTTTTCATTCATTTGTTTTTTATTAATTTATTTATTTTGCATCCTTTCACTGAACATTATCACAGCATACAAAATGTGATTTCCCATCCAGAATACCCTGCATAGTGGCTTAATCATAATGTTATCGTCAACAAATAATTTTCCTTTTCTTGTTTCTTGTATATATATTTCCCCCTAATTTCTCACCCACTGCTATTTCCTACCCTCTTCCCACCCTGTCTGCAGTTGCTTTCCATTCCTTTTTTTACTTTTCCCACATTCTATTGATTCACAAAATTTCTAAATATTAATCTAAATATTTTCAATAGCAAGTTCAGCTGATATATACATAGCTGTGAACACCTGTTGACTTTAGGCATGAAACTCTGTGAGTCGAATGAATACACTATAAAGAAGCACCTAGCTGAGACTATATAGCTTACTATGGTAATGAAATAAATATTTTTAATATATTTTTTTATTTCAATAAAGACAGTTTTAACTTTAAAAAATCAAAATCAAAAAATGTTAAGAGAACTTTGCTTAAGACTTAAAGCCTGGAAACAGGCTAGGATTCTGTTTAAATAGTAGGTCCATGGACCTGTCCACAACTCAAGAGAAGACAAAAAGCCTTAACTCTGGAAAACAAAGCATAGAAGGAGATAGGTAATGTTTCCTTCAAAAGTCATAAAATTCTATTTCACCAGTTCAAACTCATGACTTAAGTTATCTTCTGTTGTAGTCCAATCTTTCCATTTAAATTCTGGAAGATAACATTCAACTCTGGACCTGTCCCTACCATTAAGTTGGCCATTTTCTTAGTTGTTTTGAACTCTTATTTCTGTGTGTCTGACTTTAGTTTTTCTGAGATAGCATTCCCTTCAGAACTTCTTGGAGAACTGGTCCGGCATCAGTAAATTATTTCAGGTTTTGGTTATCTGAGAATGTTCCAGTCTTCTCTTCCCACATGAAGGATAATCTTGCCAGATATTGCATTATTAGCTGAAATAGTTTTTCACTCAACACTTTGAGTATATTTTTCCATTCTTTCCTTGCTCACATTGTTTCAGATGAGAAATCCACTGTGAGCCTGATGGAATATCCTTTGTAGGTAACTTGACATTTCTCTCTTGTCAATCTTAGTATCTTGTGTTTGTCTGTGATTTTGGTCAATCTGGCTATGATTGGAGAAGATCTTGGAGAAGATCTTCTTTGGTTGATCCTATTTGGAGTCCTTTGTATTTCTTGGGTCTGGATCTTTGAATGCCTCTCTAGGTTTGGAAAGCTTCCTTCCAGGATTTCATAGAATAGATTATTAATGCCCTTATTAGTTTCTTCACCTTCTGGGATACAAATTATCTGGATATTTGGATGTGTAATGGTATCTAGTATTTTTCATATATTATTCTCATTTTGGGGGGCTATTTTCGCAGTATCCATGGCGAATTTTACTAGTCCAGCGATTCTGTCTTGTACATTTGAGATTCAATTTTCTGTATTATCTAGGCTGCTTTTAATACTTTTGAGGGAGGTTTTAACTTCCTATATTACAGCCTTCATCTCCAACGGTTCTATTTAATTCTTTAATATGTTGCGTATTTCCTCTTTCAGCTCTTGCAAGAACTTTTTCACCTCCTGGAACTTGTCTCTTTTCTTCTGGAGTGCATTATCTCTCTTCTCTTCCATCTATGTTAGCTTTGTCACTATGAATATTTTAAATTCTTTATCAGACATTTTCATGAGTTCTATTGTACTGTCTGTGGATAAAGAGGAGTTATTCTTTTTCCTTGGGGGAGAATATTTTCTTGGTTTCTCATATTTCTTGTGCCTCTGTGAGGATTACTAGCCATCTGATGGGTTATTCATTTCTTCCTAATTTCTAAACATTCGATTTGAGTGATTAGAGGTGTACAGGGGGAGGTGATCTGCAAACTCTTTGCTGTTCCATTTTTCTCCCTTTGTGCTGCAGATTCAGTGGGAATTGAGGAATATGTTGACCCTGATAGTATTCAGATGCTTGGTTATGTTAGACCCGTCTAGACACTCCATGCATGGAGGCTGAGCAGCAGGTGATGAGGTAAAAGAAAAAGGATAAGAAAACAGAGAAAGAGAGAGAGGGAAAAAAGAAAATAACTTAAAAATTTATTTATTTTAAAAAATGAAAACTGCACAGTATGCTCTAGATCTCAGCTGCCATGAAGATCTCAGTTTTCTTCTGAAGGCCTGCCCTTTTTGCCTCTCCTAAATGGCGAGGGGAAGGGGCTTATTAGCAAAATAAAGGAGGATTTCAGAGCCAAGAATATACTTTACCTTAAAAAATTTTAAAACAAGAAAAATTAAAAAAATAAAAAGACAGAGAGAAACAGAAAGACACAAAAAGAAGGACAGAGGGGGCTCTACAAGGGTGAGTTCTTGGCAGAAAATCTTTTCTCTTATTCCCTGAAAGCACTAGATCTCAGCTGCCATGGAGAACTCAGTCTTTTCTCAACACAACATTTTCAAATGAATAAATGGAAGTTGATAGCTTAGATTGTTAGTCTTTTAAAAGGAAAAAAAGAAGAAAGAGGACAAAAGAAAGGAGAAAAAGAAAGAAGGGAAGAAGAAAGAGAGAGAAAAAGAAGAAAGAGAAAGAAAGGAAGAAAAAGAAAGAGAAAAAAGAGCAACGAAAGGAGGAAGGAAGGAAGACAGAAGGAAGTAGGTAGTGTGGTGGTTAAGGTGCTGGACTGCCACATTGCTGACTGTGGTTCAAGTCCCAAACCTGGCAACTTGCTTTCTCACTCTCTTTCTCTGTCTCTCTCTGGTTAAACTGAGTAATAATAATAAATAAAATTAGATAAATAATTCTTGAAGAAAGAGTAAGAAAGAAAGAAGAACGAAAATTGGTGGTGGGGAAGAACGAGCAGTTTTTTCTTGTACAGATTAAACAAATGCAACTTTTAGAAAATCCTTCAAGCACTGAGAGACCATGGATAATGTCTATTCATAACTTTACTTCATTAAAGTAAATACATTTTGTTGTAATTTCGTACTTATAAGTAGGAGTGAAATGTCTTCACCATGTCATAGGGAACTGTTTTGTAATGTCACAGGGAACATTCAATTGTTCTACAGCAAATTTATCTATGACTTCTAAACTATCTTGATGGTAGTTATGAAAGTTAAATGTTTATTTACTGGTATCCTGAGCTTACTGGTAAACATGTTCAATTATCTTGCTCAAACCATGAAAAGAACTAAGTCACATGAACTTATAATTAATTGAAATTGAGTGTCTAGTCCCTAAACTATAACGTAATGTTTTCATTCTGCTAGGTGATTTCAAAGGGTGCAATCATTCTTCATGGGCAACAGGAAATTGTGATCCATGATAATGGTAAGTTCTCTAGTTAGCATAGAATTGAATGCAAGAAGAAATTTTTTTCTTTTTTAAAGAGATTTTTGCTATACAGCACATGTGCTCATCAGAGAGACAGAGAAAGAGAGAGAGAAAACAAGAAAACACCCCCTGGTGTTATGGTCATGCTGCAATCCCTTCTCTTCCATTATCCTCTTGGGATCTTGGGCACACACGCACACGCGTCCAACACCGACATGAGTTTTGAGTCACCAAGTCCAGGACTCAAACCATGGTTGACTATGTGAGAGTCCAGTGACATAACCATTACGCCATCTGCTGGTCCCAAGAAGAATGTCTTAAGTGGAGTACATGTCAGTTTTTTTCCTGAAAGTAAAATATATTTTTCTTAGAAGTCACAAGTCTTTCAATTAAGACCATTTACTGACACCAAATTACTCTGGGAAAACATGTAATGACATATGAATAGGCACAATGGAAAAAAATCAGTTGATAATTATTTATAGTCTTGAATTATATTCAAAGCACTATAACAAGAGAATAACTGCCCTTCCTATTCTGTTCCAAGAAAGACAGTTAAGTATTTTTATATTCAAACCAGGAACTGAAATAGAAAACAAAATAAAATTGTGAAGTTTAAGATAATTAGGAGATTATCAAGTTTTCCTTTCTTTCATAATTTATGGACTAGGATATGGCCTCCTCCTAGAAATGTTTTATTACATCTGTGAATTTGGGGCAGCATTATCGACAGTAGGTGGGATGGTGAGACAGCCATGGAGAATTTCTGCCAGATGACGTCAACTCTTTTGCCGAGGCGTTTTTCCAGCTCGACTTTGTTTTCTTCCCACAGCTAAGACTGGCACCTTCTCCGTTCCTGTAGAGGTGAGCGTCGAGCTAGCGCCCTCTGCAGTTATGCTGGTCTATAGCTTGCATCCTGCAGGGGAAATGATCACCGACAGCACCCGATTTGAAATTGAGAAGTGCTTCAATCATGAGGTGAGGAAGACAATCGTTTTCGCACATTCTCAGATTTGGGGAAACTATGGAGAATTTAGAAGTGCACTAGCTTTAAGTGGCCAGTTTTTCTAACAAACACCATGGTGACAGCATTCCCGTGGATATTGCTGTTCTTCTAGATTATGGAAGTCTCAGAAAACCCTTCGAATGTGTGTGCTACAATGAAGTCAAGAGTAGTTTCAGAGATGATGCTTCTCACATGGCTTACGATCTTTTTGCCTTTTTGTGTATTTTCCACCTTCAGGTCAACTTAAAGTTTTCTAAAGAAAAAAGTTTACCAGGATCCAATATCAGTCTTCAAGTCTCAGCTGCTCCACACTCTCTTTGTGCTCTTTGGGGTGTAGATCAAAGTATATTGCTACTAAGGAGCTATGGCCAGCTGTCAGCGCAAAGTGTGAGTGATTGCACCCACCTTTATTTACCACCAGCTTTTGGTTATCGATCTTTACCTTTAGATACAAATTGGAAGCCTTAAATAAACTAGAAAGCAAGTAAATTGACTGGACTCCCAGGAATAAAATCAGATTAGGAATCGTAAAATGGGGGCCAGCTGGTGGAGTGGTGGTTAAGGGCCCTGGAGTCCCATATGGCTGACCATGGTTCGAGTCCCAGACCCGGCAGCTTGCTTTCTTCCATTCTCTCTTTCTCACTCTGTCCCTCTCTGATCAAATTAAAAATAAATAAGTGAAATAAAATAAAATAATTATTCAAAGAAAAAGAAAAAAGAAATCATGTAAAATGAACTCTATTTAGCCTGGTTATACTAATTATCTTATGCTAAAAGTAACACTTTTAAAAATACTAACACTTGCTAAATGTCTGCTATTTGACATGCAATCTACTGAGTATTCTGATATGCATTATTTCATTTTATTTTCATACTAACCCTATAGAATTGACGTAATATTTCCATTTGGTTAATGAATAATCTTAGACATAAAAGATAATCAGTAAATTAACTAAGGGCATTGTCTGACAATGTCCTGGAATGAGTCAAAGAAAACTGAGGAGTCTTTTTATCTGGAAGCTACTAAAATCCAATGAGTCTCATTTATCTTCATTGGTTTTAATGCCATAAAGCCAACAATTGTTTAACTGATTAGATACCATTTCAAAATCTTTACAGCTCTGCAATCCTAGACTTTCCTAGTAACTATTTATTTAAAAGAGATATGGTGACAATTGTATACAGGATTCCCATAGGATTGTGTAGGTTATTGACACACTGCTTTTGGAATAAGTATGAATTGTTTTCTATAAGAAATTGCGTGGTTGACACTCTTCTGCTATTTAGGTATATAATCAGCTACATTACAAGGACCTGTATGGTTATTATTTCAAAGGACTTAACTTAGAAGACGGCCCTAAAATGCCATGCCTCCAGAATGAGCACATTCTTTACAATGGAATTTATTACAAGCCCGTGTGGGCCGACTTTGGGCAGGATGCCTATGACCTTGTGAAGGTAAGACAATTATTTCTTAAGATGTAAAATGTGTGACAATATACAAATAAGGTAGAGTAAAATAGCAAAGAAATATCTGTCTTGTGGGGTCTTTTGGTTTAGTTATATATGTCTTCCATGAGTGAGAGAGAGAGGGAGAGAGAGAAATATACCCCAACAGGGTCTCAACATTAAGATCAGCCCCCTCCCTCACAAGCCTCAGCCAACCTCATGTCACAGGTACATTCATTCCTAGTGAAATCACCTCCTGGGAGGGATGGCCACCCTGCAATCCCTTCTCCATTCTCCTCTTGGGGTCTTAGGCATCACGTCCAGCATGAGTTTGAAGACACTGGGTCCAGGAATCAATCCCCAGTCAGCCATATGGGACTCCACTGCCTTAGCCACTATGCCACCTGCTGGTCCTATGTGTGGGTTTTTAAGAATTCTCAGAGCACTCATTTGTAATGATAGTACCTAAAAACCAATATTTCAGAGACTATATTAGCAAAAGAGTATGTATTATTATAAATTTATTTAAATATTGTAAATTTAATAATAAAATAATGTAATTAATAATAAAATAATGTAAAATAACAATATCATAAAGAACTAATAATACAATATGAGTAAAAGAATTAATATCTGTGAAAATTAACACTTTACCTGACATAAAATATATACTAGGTATCAAATATACATCTCTACTTCATTCTTACATCTAAATATGTTGATGTTAAAAGTATAAACAAGGGGCCAGCAAGTGGTGTGGTGGTTAAGATGCTGGAATTCCCACATGGCCGACCACGGTTCCAGTCCTGGACCGGGCGGCTTCTCTCTCTCTCTCTCTCTCTCTCTCTCTCTTTCTCTCTTTGTCTCTCTGTCTTTCTCTGGCAAAACTCATGTGAAAATAATAATAATAATAATAATCATAATAAATAAAGCTAAAATAAAGCTAAATAAATTTTAAAAAAAGTATAAACAAGTGAAATACTATCACCACATCAACAAAAATGGCAAATTCAAAGTATGAATATGTGGTGGGAAATACTATGGACTATATAGTAAAATAGGGATTATTTTTTGGGGGGTCCTTTCTTATTAAAAGGTTTTGGAGGGACCATCAGTTAGTGTAATGGCTATGTCGCTGAACTCCCATGTAGTCGACCGCGGTTCGAGTCCCAGACCTGGTGGCTTAAACTCATGCTGGGTACGTGTGTGTGCATGCCCAAGATCCCGAGAGGAGAATGGAGGAGAAGGGATTGTGGCATGGCCATCCCCCGGGGGGTGATTTCTCACTTTCTGTCTCTAAAAAAAATCTGGTGAGCGCACGCACCCTATAGCAAAAACGTCTAAAAAAAAAAAATGGTTTTGGGACCAGCAGTTGGAGTAATGGCTATGTCACTGGACTCTCATGTAGTTGACCGCAGTACGCGCCCTGACCCAGTGGCTTAAACTCATGCCGGAGGCGTGTGCGTGTGTGCCCAAGATCCCAAGAGGAGAGTGGAGGAGAAGGGATTGCGGCGGCATGGCCATCCACCCTAGGGAGTCATTTCTCAGTTTCTGTCTGCCTTTCTGGTGAGCACATGCACCGTATACCAAAAACCTCTCGAAACAAAACCAAACAAACAAACAAACAAAAAAACGGTTTCATCAAAAGCTATTAATCAGGAAAACAAAGAAAAGGCCTTTAAAATCATAGAAACGAAGAAAATTGAAAACATGGAATTTGGAAAATGGTAGTAAAGTGTCTCTCAATATGTGACAATTACAGTTGGGAAAATAAATAGGAGGAAATTAAAAATAGATACAGAATTTTATAAAGGTCCAAAGTGCTAGTCTACATTGTTGTGTGACCTGAAACTAATTTTATATTGAAAGGCAATGGGACTGAAGGTCTTTACCAACTCTCACCTCCGGAAACCCGTGCTGTGTGAGGATTCCAGACATCGTGGCTGTGACGACCAACATGGCTACGATTACATCGACTATGGCTATGCATGTGAGTCATGGTACAATGCGAAGGGCAGAAGATCGTTTGATAGCTTATCACCTCTTACCTTTTATAAACGGATCTGAGGGAAACAGGGGAGGCTTTTTTTTTTTTTTTTCATTCATTTAGTTGCGCCTGTCGTATGGAATGTTAGAAATACAGCGAGTGTAAGCAGCCCACTCTTCATATGCATGGAATTTACATTGAACTTGAGAAGCAGACAATATATAAATGGCATAGTTTCAGATAGTAATAAGGGCTCCAATAGTTCATCTTGACTGAAGTATTGCTATGTGCCAAGCAGTGTTCTAAATCTTTCACATTATCAACCCATTTATTCATCACAGTCCGCAGATTAGAAACTATCACCTGCTAGTTACCAATGAGGAAAATTAAGGCTAAGGGGGTAAAGGGAACTGCCCAGTGACAGAGGCGGGATTATGATCTGGGCATTCTGTCCCCAAGTCTTGTTTCTTTATCATGCTTTACTGCCCCTTGAGGAACTACTGCAAATAAAATATAAAATAAAACAAACATGATAAAATAAGGGACAAGGTGAGGGTGCTATTTTAGATAGGATGCTCTGGAAAGTAAAAACAAAACAAAAACCTCTATGAAGAGGTGACCTTTGGTTAGAAACCTGAATGATATCAAGAACTATACAAAGAACTGTCTGCAAAAACTTCAAAATAGCAAAAAATGTGAAGACATGATGCAAAGAAGAGGGGCCAATTAGGTAAAAATTTATAAAGGGATATTTAACTTCACTAATAGTCAGAAAAAAATTTAAAAATTGAGAAACAAGTTAACACATATGCTAATGGCAAAAAAGAGAAAAAAGAAAAATCAGATACTAATTATTCAATTAAAGCGAATAGGAACACTCCATGCACTATTTGCAGTACGACTGAAGGATGCAGCTGTTGTGTGGCATCTGACAGTACTTAAATTAATACATTTACACCTTCTAATGCAGGAGTTCCGCCTCTTGGCATAAACAACATGGCATTTTGACTCTTACGTGGATGAGTCACACCTAGCATATTGTGGTACGTCTGGCATGAAGTGGAAACCAGGTTACCATTACTACAGGACAGATTAAGTCATATATAGTGAATACACACTGTGGAATATTGCGGTGCACTTAGATGCAACACGGACACATTTTAAGGAGCTGGGCTCCTGGACCAGTAGTTATGAAAGTTGGATCACACATGGCTGATTATGGTTCAAATCCTGCTCCTGGCACTTGAAAAAAACACCAGGTGCATGCAAATGTGTGCCCAAAATTCGGACAGGGTGAAGAAATGGAAGAGTACAGATTGCAGTAGGACCACATTCCATTCGGGAATGTTTTCTCCCTCTCCCTCCCCCTCCTACTCCCACCCTCTATCCCGCTGGCAAGTCACACCCTCTGGTAAATAAATAAATAAATAAGTCTAAAAATAAGTAAATTATAAAAGAATTTTTAAAAAGATATGCTTTCAAAGCAAAGTCTTTCCATTTTTAATTGACACATAATAATTGCACATATTTGTGGAGTACAATGTGGTGTTTCTATACACGTATACATTGTGCAATGATTAGAATCAGGGTAATGAGCACTCCATCACCTCAAATAGTCATTATTTCTTTGTGGTGAGCACATTCAAAATCCTCTCTTCTATCTAGTTTTGAACATACAATACATTGTTATTAACTACAGTCAGTCACTTACAGTGCCTTAAAACACCATAACCCACTCCTCTTGCTCTCCAGGTTCATCCATGTCTCGGATGACAGGATTTCACTACTTAATGGCTGACTGTTCGGGACCAGCAGTTGGTGTAATAGCTATGTCGCTGGACTCCCATGTAGTTGACCATGATTCGAGTCCCAGACTCAGTGACTTAAACTCATGCCGGGCATGTGTGTATGTGTGCCCAGGATCCCAAGAGGAGAATGGAAGAGAAGGGATTGCAGTGTGGCAAACACCTCTGGGGGGTGATTTCTCACTTTCTGTCTCTCTGTCTCTCTCTCTATCTTTCTGGCAAGCGCACGCACCCTATAAAAAAAAAATTTTTTTTAAATGGCTGGATGCTAACTCCATTGGGCACACACACCACATTACGCTTCCATGTTTCTTGTAGCACTGTGCACAATAGCCAAAGTGTGGGATCAACCTGTATCCATCACAGATACCTGAATCAAGAGCAAAGTTATGAGTAGAAAAAGAAACATAGAAAATTTGAATTATAATATCATTTATGTGATGTTAGAAAAGACAAACCCACTAAACAAAATTATCTATTTGTGAAGTATATACACATATCTAAGATATATGCAAAATACAGTAGAGTGCAAAAATATGGGAAGATGGGTACTTCAGGAAGAAGAGGGGCTGTCTAAATATGTACACATAATATTCACATAATGCTATGTGAATTATACATAACTATTGTTGGTACATTTACAAGTAGAAAGATGGGCTAAAAATAGAAAAGGGAAACCAAACAGTATTACAGGGTAAACGTAGAGTTATTCCTAAAATAAACAAATACTTCATAGCTCTGGCTAGCACTGATTGGTAGTAGTTCTGAACAGGACACTGGCGTGATCGTGTGGGTCAGCACAAGTACTGAAAATGCATGATCCATTGTGACCGAGACCAGAAATGTGCTACTACACCATCCACACATCGGTGGGGGCTGGGATTGTGGAATCAGCCTGGACGCGACTACAGCCCACAGCCAAAGCCTGGAATAAGGAATCAGGAGCGTTTCCCAGTGGATATGCTATTGTGACTTTAAATGTACCTGCAAACCCCCACTGGAATATGTTCTCACAATGAGAACCATACATTCCTATGAAATATTTATTCGAGTCCCAGACCCAGTGGCTTAAACTGAAAGACTAGGAAAGATGAACAAGAACACCATGACCAAAGGCAATTACACTTGTGACTAAATAGACAATTGGGAAAATTATATTAAAAGGAGTATAGTATTAGTAAGACCTACTGAGAGACAATAGTGGGAATTGATGATAGAGGTCAAAGAGAATTTTGATTTTATTTAGTCTTCTAATTATTTTATAGACTAATGTAATTCCATATTACCTGTGTAATGAATTTTTAAGTACAATGTGACAAAATATCAACACTTGATTGAGTTGAATAATTAATATTCCTATTACATGTTAAGAAACACGTGTAAGCTATCTGTAGATTATTCACCAAAGACAAAGCATATCTAGAAATGGGATCTTAAAGTTTGTCAGAGATTACTGTGAGGACTGAGTGAGTTAACATATGTAAAAACCATTTTCAATACTGACTGAGATGGAACAATAATTCAGTAACTGCTGGCTGCTGTTAAAATTAAATCTAACCCTTAAAATGTAACTTTCTTTTTCTTAGAAGTTAAATTTGATGGTTTAGGTGTAAAATAGCTAGTTGTTTTTTGATATTGTATTTAGCTTTTCTTCAGATAGTCTTTATTTTTTTAATTGACAAAGAATAATTGTATATATTTATGGGGTATTACGTGATGTTTCAACATGTACATATTGCAGAATGAACAATTCAGGCTAATTTGCATGTATATCACCTCGAATAGTTAGCATTTCTTTGTGGAAATAACATTCGAAGTCCTCTCTTGTAGCTGGTTCTTCAAGACTGATTTCAGGTTTAAGTGACGGTTTTCAAACTCCTGGATCTTATATGGAAACTCTGAGGACATCATTTCCTGAAACTTGGATTTGGAATCTGATCACAACTGAGTGAGTTTTTTTATGGTTTTCTCATTTAATTTTTGTTTTATCAGTAAGCAAGAGAAACTGTTCATTATATTTCTCAGCCTTATAAAAATAAATGTGTTCAAAAGACTGAAAATGAAGGGAGTGAATTCAAAGTTCTGGAGCGCCTTGGATCGTTTTCTATTCAGTTCTCTCTTCCTTTTGCTTTCTGCTTTCTTTCATTTTCCCCTTATTTCTCTTATAGTTTTTTATCTTTTTTTTTTAAGTCTCTTTATTTCTTGAGAGAGAGAGAGAAAGACTTACCCTGACAGGGTCTTGCTCCTATATAATCCTCCCATATCCTTCAGTCAACCAAGATCATGGCTACACCAAGAATATTCAAGTCAACCAGGAACCAAACTCAGGTCTTCCTCTATGACCATAGTATTGTACAGAAGTGCCCCACCACCTGTACCAGGGGGCTATCATTTATTTTTTATGAGAATTTAAATTTGTTGAAAGAAAAGTTGTATGGGAGACCAAAAACAGACTGAAATTTTGGTTGTTGTTGTACGACATGATTTACCTAACACTCAACATAATACTCAACTTAATAACATAAAACTCATACGTGTATCTTCAGCACATAGATTTAAGAAGGAAGGAGGGAAAAATGTGGAGAAGCAAGAAAAGGAGAAGAAAGAAAGAAAGAATGAAAAGGAGGAAGAAAAGAAAGGAGGTTTAGAAAAATGAGTTTCTAAGAAGGTGCCATAAGAAATTCAAGTATAAGGCAAAAGCATAGATTTTAATCTTGGAAACTATGCCAAAGAGCTCACATTTCTAAACCTATCAGTAAAGTTGGACGAATGTGGTATAATTTACTTATAGGGAAACTTAAACATAATAGACACTAACGTATGTATTTTGAATCAATTAAGTGAGTTATTTATTATCCTGCTTACTCAGCATTTCTAAATACTTTGTATTAAAAACTACTCATGGTGTCCACTGATAATGAACAGGGTGTAAATGCACACAGATACAATTACATTTGCCAGTATTTTACAAGAAAGTGAGCAATTCATGCCAATGTCAACTATTTCAATAGTTTATAATTTGATACAGATTACAAGAAAATATAAAGCATTAATAAAATTTAAAGTCAAGCTCTCAAAATGAAGAAACAGAGTAGAGTCAAAGGTAATTTTTACAACGTAGGAATTTGGGGCCAGCAGGTGGCGTAGTGGTTAAGATGCTGGACTCTCACATGGCCAACCACGGTTCAACTCCTGGACCTAGGACTTTGAAACACACCAGGCACATGTACGTGTGTGCTCAGGATCCTGGGAAGAGAGTGGAGGGAAAGGGATTGTGGTATGGCCATCCACCCCTGGAGGATGATTTCTCACTTTCTCTCTCTCTCTGTCTCTCTCTCTGTTGAGCACACTACAGGGGAAAAAATCTTGAATAAATAAATAAATATAAAGATATGGAAAGTTAGTGCATTGAGCATAGAAACTTGATTCTGAACTTCTTTGAGAATAAGTACAGCACAGAGCTAACCAGAGGAAGAATTTACCTACTATAGATTAGTACAATACCAAACAATCAAAGAAAGAAATATAAAGCTTTAAGTAAATGAAATGATTTAATTACATAACATTAACTGACAGTTCCTCTCTTCAATTTTATCTGGATTTCTGATTTAGCTCCACAGGCAAGGCTGACCTCAGTCTTACTGTTCCTGATACCATTACGCAATGGAAAACCAATGGACTCTGCATGAGTGACAGGACTGGGTTTGGCATCTCCCCAACTAACTCCCTGACGGCTTTTCAGCCCTTCTTTGTGGAACTCACTTTCCCGTACTCAGTGGTTCGAGGAGAAGCATTCATCCTGAAGGCTAACACCTTCAACCACCTGAACAGATGCATTGAGGTAATATCCTTGGTTTATCAGAGTGTAAAATGGTGTTGGCAAGTCATTAGGGTGGGTACTTAGGAAAATTGAATGAGGCAATATAGAGGATGAGCTTTGGACAATACACTTCAAATGATAGGTATAAGGGGTTTTGTCCTTTCTTTTTAATTCTTATCTAAATAATGAATTTCTATAAAATTATCTGTAATAACAATGTGGCCTTTAGTATGTCAGATGATTCGTCTTCTTTTTTCAATATGGTTTAAAATGTGGTATGACCCTCCAAACCCAAATCTTTGTTGACATCTAATAATTTAATCAGAACTAGTAAACAATAATTACAGAATGACATATCAGGTATATGCCAAATAATATACTTGACCTACATAGTCTTACTTTAAATAATACTATTTATTGAAAAAAAAATTGAAGCATGCCAACTGATTCAGTTTATCAGGGTGCAGCATTAAGTAATAGCCTTTTTTTTTTTTTTAAGGATTTTGCCTTAGGGCACATGCTCTTACCATAGAGAGAGACAGTGAGAAGGAACGTGAGAAATCACCATCCAAAAGGAATGGCCATGCTACAGTGCCTTCTCCATTCTCCTGCTAGGATTTTGGGCACGCATGCACCCATGCCTGGCATGACATTCAAGCCACCAGGTCTGGGACTTGAACCACAATCAAACATGTGGGAGTCCAGCTGCCTTAACTACCACACCACCTGCTGGCTCCCAGTAGCCTTTTTATTTTTTTTTACATTTTTTTTTCATGAGGGATATAGAGATAGGGAGAGGGAAAGACCTTGGGAGAGTCTCATCATACTGTCATTTCCCCACTGTAGCCTTCTAAACAGCCAGAATCACAAACCTGTGCTCATGGCCAGCACGTTCAGACTGAGCTAGGATCTGAACTATGGTCCTCCATGTGGCTTCAGCACCACAGAGAGTTGCTTTATTTACTGCCTATGCCATCACAACTGGACCAGTAATAGCTATTTTATAAGGAAAAAATAAAAGAAATCATGTTTTTCACATCCAGGGACATTTATGTTTGCTTCTCAGTGATTAAGTTTCTGTGAGCTTCAGTTGGGATGCACGATTCTCAGTGCTGTACATATGTTATCTGCTATATAGCATACAGCACAACTGTGAGCCGTAGATCACAATGGCCTCAGTTTATTGGTAAGATAAAAGAAACTGAGGCTCAAAAGAACTTATGATAACTTAATCAACCCATATTTGGTTTATAAAAAAACTACTTGTTTTGCTGCAGTTCTCCGAAATAATACACCATTGTGAAAAGACCTAAATACTACTTTTTCAAAATAAATGCCAAAGGTTATATAATAATAATAATAATGTAGCAAGGTTTTGAGAGTTTCCCCATGGTCTGGAAACCATTATTTCTCCTGCAGAAAAATTTTCTTTTAAACTTCTCATGTACCCATGACTATACTATTGATATATGGAACGGATTGAATTCCCTTTCGCTCTTTTCATGTTTGTCGTTCACAGATTAATACTGTACTGAGAGCATCTAGGGGTTACCAAGCCAGACCTCTCTCAACTGAAGATAAAAATGTTTGTACGTGCAGCAGCGAGAAAAGAACCTTCACTTGGCTGATGACCCCCCAAATACTAGGTGAGATTTGTAGTTAGGTTTTCATCTTCCTTTGTAAATCCTCCTAAGAGTTTATGTCTTGATACATTATTGTGGTACTAACGAACATATTATACATGAGGCTGGGTGAATTATAAAAAACAGCAATTTAATAACTCATAATTCTGGTAGCTGAAAAGGCCAAACGCATCCCTCATGGCAGAAGGCAGAGTTTTAACAGAGTGTGGACTATAATCTGTGGGGCTTTCTCTTCCTCTGCTCTTCTGATCTCATTTCCTTTGCTTGTACACTTGTCATAACTCAGTCATAGAGGCCTCTCCCGGATGACATTATCACATCCAAACACCTCTTCCTGGGGACAGTGTGAAGGAATTAAGTGCACTTAATACCTTTACAATATAATCAACTCACAACACACGCACTTATAGGGGATGTGTTCAAAACATGGCAGTTTGAGTTATGCTATTTCTCTGTACAGCCATTTTACTATTGCTAATACCTCCACTTATCTGCATGCTGTTCTTATTATAGTACTTCTCTTCTACAACCCTAGACCAAGGCACCTGGGGACACAGGTGGGGAGTTGGGATCATGTCTTCACATTAAGAGTTCATATTTACTATGCTTTATTCTCTCAACTGTAAAATTTTAAGTACTTTTATAATTTACCTCCAGTTAGGGTTCAAAAGATAGCTGTCTCCTTGACTCTCCATTCAAATAACTTTGTCATTTACATTTCTTCGCATTTAAGGTGCAGTCAACCTCACAGTCACGGCTGAAACCTTGCCAAATAATGGCTGCGAGAATGGGTCACCCAAGGCTCTAGACATTGGTTGGAGAGACACAGTGATCAAACCATTGCTGGTAGAGGTATGGCCTCAAAGTCAAACTTACGAGCCTTGAGGGAAACCCTGTCTATACTTCATAATGTTGACCTCTTTGTTTTTCAAATGATGCATCCATTGTCTATTGATCAAATTAGGGAACTAAAGACATCCACCATTGCAAGCACCTGTCATCACCTCATATTGTACACAATTTGAAACTTACTCTTCTATCTTCAACGTAAATCAGAATGTTTACCTTGTAAAGAAGTGCAAATATTCCTTTCAATGTTTATAGAAATAGAAGGAGTCACTGATCCAAACATAAAGCACAATATTTTAGCTAAATATTTGGAAAAGACCAAGAAAAGACACTGAGTAACTCTACACAGACATTTACAATCAATGTACAACAGGACATGGAAAAATAGAATTAAAGTATGAGCTTTATTGTAATACTCATTTCTATTAACTTTTTGAAGACCGTTTGTGTGATATTCTTGGAATAGAGTAACAAGATTTTAGGAATCAAAGAACTTTTGAGAAAATCCTTGCCCTTAATTTTAGCAACATTCAGCTAATCTATAGCATGCCAAAAGGAATTGCTCATTTCTCTATTATCGTGGGCAGATATTCGTAGATTCGTTATCTGGAATAATTGTTTGAGGAAGATTTGATCTGTTCAAACATTATTTTTATTATTTTTCTTTTTTGGAGAGGTTTTTGCTATAGGGCACATGCACTTGCCAGAAAGACAGAGAGAGACAGAGAGATAGAAAGCGAGAATTCACCCCCCAGGGGGGATGGCCATGCCACAATCCCTTCTCCATTCCCCTCTCGGGATCTTGGGCATGCACGCACACGTGCCCAGTGTGAGTTTAAGCCACCAGGTCGGGGACTCCAACCATGGTCGGCTACATGGGAGTTCAGCAACATAGCCATTACCCTAACTGCTGGTCCCTGATCAAACATTATTATTTGTCATGAATTTTCTGAATTTACTTGATCTATAACATTGATTATGACTGCTCTCTTTCTTCGTCCAACCATCAGCCTGAAGGTATTGAGAAGGAAATGACACAGGGCTCCCTTATTTGTACGTCGGGTAAGTAGACACATTTAGACAGTCTTACTATGATGGCAACTTTGAATGGAAGCTCCATTTGTCTTTGCTTTGGAATTAGCTGTTTGATTATTTATCACCTCAGAAATATGGCTACTGGAAAAGATGAAATTACTCCCAAGTAATAAAAGTTAAACTTTCATAAGCTGAAGTGAATTTAAAACATTTGGGTCTTCTTTCTTTTTTTTTAGGAGAGATTTTTGCTGTAGGGCATATGCACTCTCCAGAGAAACAGAAACAGAATGACAGAAAGCAAGACATCATCCCCCAGAGGAGATGGCCACACCATAATCCTTTCTCCTCCATTCTCCTCTCTGGATCTTGGGCATTCATGTACACATGCCCAGCGTGAGTTTTAAGCCCCTGGGTCTAGAACTTGAACCACAGTTGACTACATGGGAGTCCAGCAATGTAACCATTACACCATCTGCTGGTCCCCAAGGTCTTTTTTATTTATTTTCTACTTTCCAATTCAGAAATCTAAGCATCTTTGACTTATGTATAATTCTCATCCTTATTACTTAGTTCCTCCCCAGGGAAGCCTTGATTTCATTTTTTAAAACAATGATTATTATTATGAAAGTTCTGTCAAAGTTCAGCCAGAGTAGAATTGTCTCTTAGTATGTGATTTCTAGACCCTTCTCTCATGATCCTGCCTCAGAACCAATTTCTGAAAAGTCTTTTTCTGGTTACCACATCTCCAGAGGATTATCTATCCAGAGTTTTGACCCATATCAATTGCCTAAAACTTTTTCTATTATTTGGTACCAGCAGATGGCATGATGGTTTATGTTGCTGGACTCCCACATAGTCAACCACTGTTCAAGGGCCAGACCCGGGAGCTTAAAACACACTGGGCATGTGTATGTGTGTGCCCAAGGTCTGAAGAGAAGAATGGAGGGGAAGGGACTGTGGTGTGGCCATCCCCCCCGCAGGGGGGATTTCCCACTTTCTGTCTCTCTGGCCAGTGTATATGCCCTATAGCAAAAATCTCTTAAAAATAAACAAAAAATCTCTATGATTCAAAGTGCAGCCATTAGATTGCTCTGTTCTAATACCAGACCACAGCAGGATTATTTTCCTACTATCTCAGTTATTTTGCAGTTGCCACTATTGGTCTGTTTGGATGTTAGAAATACTGAAGTCTCCTATAGTTAAAGAAGCCAGAAATCTCATTTCATTGTTCAATATTTTATCACCTTTAGGGGCACACTCAGGTTGTGCTATATTTTGACACTAGTGTGTAAATGATGCTGATCCTGAATTTGAAAACTTACATCCATATGCTATGTTTTATTATTTTTTATTATATGACATTCTGAATATTTTATTTCCTTTTGGTCTGAACATTCCATTCTCTATCCCAAGACTGGGGGATGGAAGATAGGGAGTGCATTTCTGATCTCTAGATCTCATAAGTTATTTGGTGAAATCCAGTTAAATAACACGTGAAAGTGCACAGTATATTGTAACGTGTTCTCGAAAGTTAAAGTTTTATCCTATGTTAAATTGTAATTGATTGTGAACATTTTAAAGTAAATCTAATTAGTTATATTTATAAGAACCGTTTTGAAATGTTTTCTGATTATTTTATATTTGGGAATAGTTAATAAAAAGACATGAATTGATTTATTAATCAAGAGGGTAAATTATAACCAAAGACAAAACTCTGGGTTTTTTTATTAAATAAATGATTTCTGATTTTACTCAATTTACTTGTGTTTCCTAGGATCCACAGTGTCTCAACCAGTAGTGCTAACTTTGCCAGAAAATCTTGTGAAAGATTCAGCTAGAGCTTATTTTTCTGTCCTTGGTAAGTCTGAAAAATGTGTCTTAGAATTTGATGATTGAGTTTGGAATATCTGACTGGATATTCTAAGTACACTCAAGTCCACTAATAAATCACTCCAAAACTTATTCTCATTTTTCTGACTCTTTCTTTTTGCTTTGTTTTCTTTTTTGCCCAGTTGCCAAAGGGCATGTGTTCTCACCAGAGAGACAGAGACAAGAAGAGGAGAGAGAAAAGGCACCCCTTAATGATACATGGTCACCCCACAATCCCTTTCTTCTACTCCTCCTTCCTGTCAGGATGTTAGGCACCCATACACTCCTTAAAAAAAAAAAAAAAAAGAATTATTTTATTTTAGTGAAATTGACCAGAGAGAGAGAGAGAGAGAGGAGGAAAATGAGAAAGCAAGCTGCCAGGTCTGGGACTCAAGCCATAGTCAATTATGTGGGAGTCCAACCGCCTTAACCATCATGCCACCTGCTGGCCCTGGGCACCCATGCACTCTTCCCCAGTGTGTTATTCACGCTGCCATGCCATGATTTGAACTGGGTGGTCATATGGGATCCAGCTTCCTACACACAGCACTTAACCACTGCACTGCAGGGCTGGCCCTCTTGCTCTTTCCTTTTCTAAATGCCATAGTGACTCTGACACACACATCTAGTCTTGTCATTGGCCTTTCCTTCAGGTGTATTGCTGATGACCACCTCACCAAAGGAAAGTACTGATTTATCTTACAAACCCGTGATTTCTGTTAGGCCCCAGCACGATTTCATCCTTTTGTGTAGGAATTGTGGCACTCAAATAGGAGCAAATAACACTCTGAACAAAAGTGACGGTCCCTGCAGGCTAGTCCAAAGCCACCCCAGAACTTTTTATTTTTAACTTGTAAACCCTATAAACCTAGAACCCGAATATCTTGCCAACAAATAGAAAAACTTACAGGTAATTAAGAAAAAGCTATAAGACACTTTGAGACGTAGAAACTTAAAAGACAAGGGAACTTTAGGAAGTTTATAAAAACAGAATGAAAGTACAAGTTTATTTTGGGGCAGAAAAAAAATGTGAACTGCATACATAGTTTTCCATGAACTTTTTGAAGATCCTTCCCCGACGTGAAAATTAAATGTCATCTGTTCTTAATTATTTTTATATATTACTGTTTCCCTGTTGAAAACAGAAAACCGTTTTCTTATCCCCTTAAGATTTCAAAGACAGTTCCCTTCATGATTTGGTTCTATTATTCTTTTAAACACTAGGCTATTTAGCTCCTATCTCCACTTCCTGTATACAGCCCAGGGTAAAAATCAAGGATAGCAATTTGAAGAATACGGTGGAAGGGTTTCTATCCTCTGTATGGCATTATAGTCAAATCCTACATTATTACAGTATGAACAGCTGGAAAAATAACCAACCAAACAACAACAAAAAGTATATATATATATATACATACGTATGTGTATATATATATATACACACACATACATATTTTATATATATGTGTGTGTATTTACATATATATTATGTATATATTATATGTATCTTACATCAAGGACATCCTGCAAGATCAAAATTAAAAAATGTGGGACCAGCAGTTACCGTAATGGCTATGTCACTGCACTCTCACGTAGTGGACCGTGGTTTGCGTCCCGGACCCGGTGGCTTAAGACTCATGCTGGGTGTGTGTGTGTGCATGCCCAGGATCCCGAGAGGAGAACGGAGGAGAAGGGATTGTGGCGTGGCCATCCCCCCAAGAGGGTGATTTCTCGCTTTCTGTCTCTCAGTCTCTCTCTGTCTGTCTGGCGAGCGCACGCGCCCTATAGCAAAAACCTCTCCTAAATAAATAAATAAATAAATAAATAAATAAATAAATAAATAAATAAATGTTATGGCTTACCTGAGTTTTTGACTTTAAGCAAATCGATTTCATCACCAAAATGATGTCTAACAAATATCACAAACACAATCATATTCATGATAACCACCTTAAATCCTTATTTTCCTGCAGTCTCTTTGCTGATCAATTTCTATCCAGTTAATGTGAAAATTTGTTGAATTTTTTTTTGCATCTGTGTTCATCAGGGATATTGGCCTGCAGTTTTCTTATTGTCTGGCTTTGGTACCAGAGGAATGTTGGCCTTATACAATGAATTTGGAAGTGTACCCTTTTCATCAACTTTTTGAAAGAGTTGAAGAAGGATTGGAATAAATTCTTTGTAAAATGTTTGATAGAATTCTCTGCAAAGTCTTCTGATCCTGGCTTTTCTTCGTTAGGAAATTTTTGATTACAGATTAAATCTTCTTTATCATTATTGGTCTGTTCATATTTGCCATTTCTTCATGATTTCAGTCTTGGTAAAATAGTACATTTCTAGAAATCGGTTCATTTTCCCCTATGTTATCAAATTTATTGGCACATAACTGTTTCCAGTAGCCTCTAACGGCCTGTGTTTCTGTAAGTCAGTTGTAAGGTGTCCTCTTCTACTCCTGGTCTTACTTATTTGAGTCTTCTCTTTCTTTCTTAGATAGTCTAGCTAAAGGTTTGTCAATTTTAACTTTTTGCAAGATAAATTACTACGTATTTTTTCCTATTTTTTTCCAGTACTTACTTCTACTCTGATAATTATTTCCTTCTTTCTGCTAACTGTGGACTTAGTTTGTTCTTTTCCTGGTTCCTTTCAGTGTAAAGTTAAGCAGTTTGAGATCTTTCTCTTTTTTTTGAGAGAGAGAGATTTTTGCTACAGGGCACATGCCCTTACAGAAGAGACAGAGAGACAGAAAGTGAGAAATCACCCCTCTCCTGGAGGGATGGCCACACCACAATCCCTTCTCCTCCATAATCCTCTTGGGATTTTCAGCACGCATGCACACATGTTTGAAGCCACCAGGTCAGGACTCAAACCCCGCTCGACTACGTGGGAGTCCAGCAACATAACCATTGCACCATCTGCTGGGTCTCTCTCTTTTCCTAATGAGAAAATGTCTATAAATGTCCTTAGAACATCTTTGTTACCTTGTATAAATTTCACTATGTTTTGTTTTCATTTCTGCTTATCTTAAAATATCTTCTTATTTTCCTTTTGATTTGTTCTTCGACTCATTTGTTGTACAGGTATATGTTGTTTAATGTCCACATAGTCATGAGTTTTCTGAATTTCTTCCTGTTACTGAGTTCCAGTTTCATACCACTGTGATTGGAGAAAGACACTTGATATGCTTTTGATATTCTGACTGGAAGTTCTTTACAGTGGCTAAGCATAGTTCATTAAAGACCTGGCTCCCAGAAGGCTGACAGGGTTTGAGTCCCAAATTTACCACTTGCTGTATCACTTCAAGCAAGTTGCTTAACCTCTCTGTGTCTCATTTCTCCACCTCTTAAATAAACATAATAATATTACGTATTCCATAGGGTTCTTATAAAACTTAAATGAGTTGAGATGCACCGATTCCTCCAGATATACTCTGCGTGCATAGGAGATACTGTATTAGGCATTGGTGGAAAGCACGTATAGGCAAGTCACTCTAAGCTACGTTGCCGATCTTAATTCCTCACTCTGTTGCATCTCTTTGAATAATGCTGGGAAATTTAAAAAACTTTTTTATACTTGATTTTCTCAGTATTGGGAATTATAGGACCTGTTTATATTACTTTTATAAGGGTTGGATGAATTGGTATGAGTAAAATGCTCAGAACAGTATTTAATGCATGATAAACATTTTATAAATGTTTATTTTGGGCCCCAATTCTGTTCTTTTTGAATTGAGGATTGTCCTGGAGTTTTCTATTTCACCCTGGGAGCTCACCAGGATTTTTTTTTTGGTTTGCTTTTTTAAAAGAATGATTTATTCCATTTTATTTATTATTGTTTTAATTCACTACAGGGTATGTGAGCTCACCAGAGAAAGACACAGAGACACAAAGAGCCAGAGAGAGAAAGCAAGCCCCCAGGTCCAGTACTCGGACCGCAGTCGACGATGTGGGAGTCCAGCACCTTAACCACCACACAACCTGTTGGCCTCCCTCCAGGACTTTTGATTTTTCACAAACTTTTGGCTCTTCTGCTCTTGGCTCTGCCACCTTGGATAAGAGAGTCCTACCTCAGTGTTGGAAACAAGACCCTGGGATAGCTTGCTACTTCTATGAATGGACCCCCACACGTAGAAGAGAGATTCAGATACTACCCAAGTACAATTATCTCAACTGCCTATCACATAAAATTCTGAAAACAAACTGATATTTTTTTATCTTACCCATTTTATAAAATAATTTCTATTGACTTCGTTGCCTTTGCAGGGGACATTCTTGGTTCTGCCATGCAAAACTTACAGAGTCTCCTCCGGATGCCTTTTGGTTGTGGAGAGCAGAACATGGCGTTGTTTACCCCCACTGTCTACGTCCTGGACTATCTCGGTCTGACTGAGCAGCTGACAGAAGAGATCAAATCTAAGGCCATCGGATATCTGACCCAAGGTAGGGCGTCGGAAAGCATTGTTTTGTCAGTACTCTGTTCATCTCAGCTAAATCTCACTTAAGCGATTATAAACAAAAAGAAAAATCCAATTAATATAATCCTTCTCCTGGATAATTACTTTTAAATTAGAAAATAATATCTTTTTTCTCTTTCTAGGCTATCAGAAGCAACTCTCTTATAAACACTTAGATGGATCATACAGTACCTTTGGATATAATGATGGACAAGGAAACACATGGTTTGAATTTCTTTATTATTTATATCAGAGGTTATAGACACTTGTTTTTGCATGCAGATTTTTGAGAATTTTATAAAAACTATGAATCCTCTGCCCCGAATTATTTAAAAGTCTCCACACACATATGAACTTTCTTCTAACAGTATTCTTGATCTCTCAGGCTAAAGACGTGATATTGCTAGCTGTTACTTACCAAAAATTGCATGCTAAGTAAATTATTAGGTGGGGGCCCAGCAGGTAGCCTCGTAGCTAAGGCGCTGGATTCCCACATGGCCTACCATGATTCAAGTCACAGACACAGCCACGTAAAAATCATTCCAGGAGCGTGTGCATGCATATCCAAAATCCCAAGAGGAGAATGGAGGGAAAGGGATTGCAGTGTGGTCATTTCCCCTTTCTGAGGGTTCATTTCTCACTTTCTCTCTTTTAACCACCACGCCACCTGCTGGCGCCCGTATATGTCTATTTTTAAATTCCCTTTTCTTGTAAGGACATCAGTCATCTTGGACTAGGATCTACCCAAATGGCTTCACTTTAATTTCATAACCTCTTTAAAGAGCCCATCTCCAAATATAGTCATTTTCTGAGGTGCTAGGGGTATTAGAAGTGACAACACATTTTAGCCTATAACACATAGATTAAATAATATGTCCAAGCTCACATTGCCAATTATGTGACAGACATAGAACATTCCAGAATCTGAGGTTTACCCACTACATTATTTTGCCTCTTGATAGTACATGTGATTGTTGAGCTCGTAAAGTGTGTAGTGTATCAGGAAAAGACAAATAAGGAAAAAATGTAACACAAATATACATGCATTGCTATAGGAGTTTATAGGCAGAAGCCGTATAATGGCACGTGTGGACTACTACACACACAGATGAATCTGGCCTAGTGCTTTCCTGGGTGGAATGCTGGTCCACGGGGGAGAAAGAGCCATATTGAAACATGAACCTAGCTCTTCATGTTTGGTGAGCCATTTAAACCTCTGGAGCTCTGTGTGTCATCTATGAAAATAAGTCACATATGCCTCATCTTTGCCTCTCAAATACTTTCGTAGTGACAATATTCTATAATTTCTCAATAAGCTCTTAGGTGTTAAGAGGAGACAAACGTAAGAATTCTATTTTTGCTTGAGATGGAGATAAAAGAATTTGGGAAGACATGATAGAGAAGGTAGCTCTTCATGTGGGACGTGAATGATGAATTGGGGAAAAAGAAAAGGAAACCCATAAACCACACAGGTGGAGACTTGAAAGGGACGGTTGAGTTGACATGTTAGGTTAGAACTGGGAGAAGATATTTTGGGGATGTGAAATTTAAAAATTCAGTTGTAGCAAGTTATGGATCCTAATGAGCTTGTCTGCCTCTCAATGCTATAAATATTTACTGTACATCGTTTCTTCCCAGGTTGACTGCATTCGTTTACAAGTCATTCGCACAGGCAAACCGCTACATTTATATCGACGACAAAGTTCAGTCCCAAACACTTATTTGGCTCTTAAGTATTCAGAAATCAGATGGCTGCTTCCAAAATTTGGGCTATGTCTTCAACAACGCTTTGAAGGTACTGATGAAATTCTACCTTAAGTTTTCTATTCTTCCATCATGATCACTTTGGAAATTTCAAAGTACCACTGAAAAACTTGGTAGAAATCACTGAACAAGAATTTCTACTGGCATAAGTTAATTATCTTGAAACCAATGCAGCCTTTCTTCTTAACAAATAGAAATTTTCTTTCTTTTCTGGGACCAGCACATGATGTAATAGTTACATTGCTGGACTCCCATGTAGTCGACCATGGTTCAGGTCCTGGACCTGGTGGCTTCAAACTCATGCCAGGTGTGTGTGTGTGCAAGCCCAAAATCCCAAGAGGAGAATGAAGAGAAGGGATTGGGGCTTGGCCATGCTCCCTGGATGGTGATTTGTCACTTTCTGTCTCTCTGTTTCTCTGGTGAGCACACACATCCTATACCAAAAATCTCTCTCTAAAAAAAAAGACATTTTCTTTCCTTTCATTAGATTAAAAACTCTAGAAATTCTCATAGTAGTTGCAGGGATCTTTCAGTACATTATATACATTGTGTGGTTCATTTCTGTATCCTGAACAGTTCACTACTTATCGTAACACCTCTCGCTAAAGACTGCTGTCTGTCCACACTGATTTTTGAGGTTAACCTTGTTATGTTGTTTTCCATACTTTTTAGCTTTCTTTCTGCTCTACCTGCTGTATTGATTGACCCACCTTTCTATTTTGTACTCTAGTCTTCTTTACTGTAATACTACAGCGTGCATTGTCCTTGACACTCTACCCTATTTCTACGGTGAAGACGAGGGTGAAGGTTTATGGAGCATTCTATGTCTCCTCTGATTCTAAATTTCTTTGACCCATAACTCAATTTCACAAATGATGTTCCGGTTCCTATACACTTCTTGGATTTCCATTCACTATTCTTGATTTTATAAACAGCACCTTTTGCAGGTATAAAAAGTGCACCCCCCCAAAACATGTGCAAAGAAAACAACAAATCCAAGTTTTTCACATGATATTATATTTAAAAAGACATGCAAACCAGACGGTGGAACAGTGATAAAACACAATGCTCTGTGAGACTGACCCACATGGGAGGGGTCCTAGTTCTTCTGAAGACCACTCTAAGTACCCTCGGCATGTGTGCACCAGGGCCTGGCATGGCCGCAGTTGAGGGCATATCACAGTGTCAAGACCGTATTGAAGGTTCTCTCTCTCTCTCTCTTTTGGTCTCTCTCTCCTTATGTATTTCTCTCACTCATGGAAGAAATAAGAAAACTTAAAAAGAAATGTATCCCTGCCTCTGAATGTCATGAGCCTGACATGTTACTCCTGTGTTTCATTCAGAATGAAGAGGAGAATGAAATCTCTCTCACTGCGTATGTTATTAACGCCCTGCTTGAAGCTGGTCACCCAGTCTCCGTAAGTGGCCCCTGGCTGATACCACTAACTTGCTTCTTATAAACTCAAAACAGCTTATGTCAATACCATGGTAATAAAAGCTAGACTATATGTCTGCATCTACCGCAACGTAATGCTGAATAGATATTCACCTTGATAGTGAAATCACACTGTGCAAATGGATCTATGTGGAGATTAAAATGTATGTGTTGCATTTGTCCTTCGAACGCTTCAGCACTGAGAAGATTCATTCCTGGTGTTTTCCAGGGATGGATGCATCTATATCCATGTTGACTCAGATGTTCTTGTGTGCACAAGCAATTTTTTTCTTTTCTTTTCTTACAGTTTTTGGCAATTCAGAAGGGTCTCCGGTGCCTAGAGGCTGCATCTGGGGAGCGAGCACTGACGGCCTATGACCAGGCTCTCCTGGCCTACACGTACAGTTTAGTAAACTACAAAGACAAAAGGGATTTTTTTGTCAATGAGCTGAGGAAAAAGGCAAAGAAAGTAGGTGAGTGTCCTTGACCTTTCCTGGCCTCACATGTGGACAGTAGAATGGTTAGCAGGGGTATAATTATCACCCCCTCGTGTTTCCACCCAGTTTGGCAGGTTTGCACTCACGGCGCCATCACTCTTCTGACCCTTCTGACCACAGTCGTGTACACCCCCCCACTTCCACACAGACACTATTGAAGTACCTCACTTTTTTGTCAGGTGGCACCGTGCACTGGGAACTGAAAGAGCACTTTTATGCAGAAGGATCATCCTTCTTCTACCCTCGGGCTCGCTCTGCAGACATAGAGGTGACCTGTTATGCGTTGCTGGCTCTTCTTTCTAAGTCAGGGCTGACTTCAGAAGAGCTGTCTTACACTTCGCAGATCGTTCAGTGGGTGGCAAGGCAGCAAAACTCCTATGGAGGCTTCTCCTCTACAAAGGTAACTCCACTGTCTTTTGAAAAAAATCACTAAATGTAAAGGTTGGCCCCATGGCCCGGAGATTAAGAGAGCCAGATCCCACATGGCTGACTGCACAGTTCAAATACTAGCCCTGGCAACTTGAACAACACACCAGTCATGTGTGTGTGTGTGTGTGTGCCCCAGATGCTGACAGGATGGAGAAACGGAAGATAAGGGGTTGCAGCAAGGCCACGCCCCATTCTGGGATGCTCTTTCTCTGGTAAAAACATGGCGAACACGTTTCTTAAAAAAAGATATATCCTTACATATAAAAAAACTCAGTAGTTCCTTTGCATGAAAGGTGTTGGTTTTAGAATTTATGTATTACCTTTATCCAATTCAATGAATTTGACACTATTAAACTTGCAATCATTTCTCAGTTTGCTGTCATTTAGAGTTTTCTAAGATATTACGTTGTCGAGAAAGTTGTGATGTATTTTTCCACGTTTCCCTATGCAAAAATGCCTCACGACTTTCCTGACAACCCAATAATTTTATCTTGCAACAATCTCTGACTACTTATTCAAAAGATACTTTTCTCTGAATTTTTTAAATGATCATTTAAATGCCAACCTGCTAATATTTCTTTATCACATGACAGACTACGATTTAATCAGAACAGTGGTGTCACGTGCCTTGTCATCAGCAGTGAGAGACAGCCTCTCTCTGTAGAACTACAAAATCGTTAGCACACTCTTTTCTGATTAACTTATTTACCGTGTAAAAATAATTCTCCATCGTGTTTTACTTAGTTAGAATGTTTTCATTTTTTTAAAGCCTTCTCTTATTTTATGTGTTATGAATCCCCTGGTCACATGATTTGCACATTTCTTAACAGAAATTAATCTCTTCCTTATTTACTTAAAAATGTCTGGGAGCAGCAGTTGGCGTAATGGCTATGGCAATTGATAAAAACAATGCAAAATACACAACAAGTGAATAGTATTTCGAATAGTTTCCAGATGACTCTCAGCTCTATTTGACTGTGATTTCTAAAACTCATAATATACTCTAATACGGTTTCTGCCACTGTCATTTCAGGATACAGTTGTGGCACTCCAAGCCCTGACTCTCTTCCAGAGGCTCACTTTCTCTAGGAATAGCCAGAATTCCGTGCACCTTTTCTCTGACCGAGCGTTCAGTACGGACTTCCACACGAACGATGAGAACCGTTTACTGCTACAACAAATCCCATTGCCGACAACGCAGGGAAACTATACGTTGGAAGTGAATGGCAATGGCTGTGTGTACGTGCAGGTAAATTGGGCTTTATTCCTCCTGACATCACAAATTTCAAATGTACATGAAACAAGAAAGAATAGAACAAGTATATTCTTCGTATTTTGTTATGTTTATGTCACTTTTTTTTGCTTAATTTTAAATCAGAGATATTAAGATGCCTAAACATTATACTACAAAAAAACAAACAAAAATGGCATGTTACCGTGTAACTGCAATGCTGTTATCACAAGGAACATAAATCAATAGTTTATAATAAAATTCAGTAATCAGTCCCCTCTCCCAAAATATACTTTTTATTTGTGTTTTTAAACCAAGATTCAATCAAGGACCATGTTTTGCCATTGTTTGTTATTCTTCTTAAATCTTTTTGAATGCATGAAATTTATCAGGGGTGTGTGTGTGTGTGTGTGTGTGTGTGTAAATGAGACAGTAACTTTTTGAAGAAATCAGGGCAGTTTTATTGTTGAATTTCCCTCGTTCTGATTTACCAGATTGCTTTCTTTTGGTATCATGTAATTTGTCTTCTCATTCCCTGGGTTTTCTATAACTGATTGATTGTTAGGTCTATATTCATATTTTCTCACATCTAGGAGTTTGTGGCTATTAGTGATATTAAAATTAACCATGGGATTAAAATGGTAACAGCCGTATTTCTCCATTAAGGATGCTGTTTTTTCCTTCTTTGCACACAGCAATGAATATTTAACGTGTTACACTGGAACCACGCAAATGTCACGTTTCACATCAATTTTCACCTCAAAGTCCCAACATGCATTGACGATCTTTGAATAATCTGTTACATTAAGGTTGTAGAGTGGCAATGCTATAATTCTACCCTGCCTTCTAATTTTATTAGCTAACATCTCTACACTACAAAGACACCAGCGTGTATCCAAGAAATCAAATACTGAAGGCATTCGAGCTACTTCCCTTCTTTGACTGTTAATGTAGAATAGTAATGAATAGTGTGCACACATTACTTCATTCTTGGGCAGGTGTGTCTCCATATCTTCACAATCCATTTCTAGAAGTGGGACTATGAGGTGAAGTTAAATCTTTAATCAAGCCTATTTTTGGGACCAGCAGATGATGGAATGGTTATGTCACTAGACTCCCACGTAGTTGACTGTGGTTCAAGTCCTAGGCCTGACAGCTTAAAACTCATGCCAGGTGTGTGTGCGTATGTGCCCAAAATCCCAAGAGGAGATTGAAGGAAAAGATATTGTGGTGTGGCCATTCCCCCCAGGGAGTGATTTCTCACTTTCTGTCTCTCTGGGGAGTGCACATGCCCTATGGCAAAAAAAACTCTCTCTCTCAAAAAAAACCTATTTCTAAGTCATATTATTCAAGATGTAGATTCTACCATTTCTCTTTTAATTCACTCACTATAATCCTGGTATTCACCTAAGTCTTTCTAGTTCCAAATTACAACATCTTTATAAGTTTCTCCTGGCTGAAATCAGATCACTTAAATTACCCCGAAGATAGCATAGAAATATTCCACCTGTATGAACTTTGACACGTTACTTTATCTTTATAAGATACTTATCTCTCAGTCCTTCATTTCCCTCACGTATAAGATAAAGGTCTAATATAGTAGCTGCTTCACAGGGTTGTTGGAAACATTCATGGAATTATTGCATAGAAAGCACATAAGCTGGATGCAGTGGAGTATGCCTGGGGGAAGGAGGAGAACTGAGGCAGGAGAGTTATGGGCTCATGGCCAGCCTGGACAGTCTAGTGACTTCCTGTCTGAAAGAGGGAGGTGCGAGCCTACACCTGTGGGCCCAGACCAAGGCAGGATTGCAACTCTGCAAGACCCTGTCTGAAACACAACACACACACACACACACACACACACACGCACACACACACATCCCACAGGCGGGAAAAGTACTTAAAAGTTGGTATGTAGTCTGTGTTCAGTAAGTGTTAGCTATCATACCTGCATTATTGATGGCACAGGAAATACGACACGCATAGGTAAAAAACGAGAATTTCACATTGAAATGCTCATGTGAAGAGTTCAGTTTAACAGTAATATTTTGGCTAATCAGTAACGTTCTCCGTATTATTCAAGACCACTCTGAGATATAACATCCTGCTCCCCAAGAAGTCATCTGGATTTTCCCTTTCTGTGAGTACAGCCAATGCTTCATGCAGAGCATTATCTCATGCGAAGTTTGACCTCGTTGTTTCAGCCAGGTAATCTTTTTTAGATACATTTCTATCTCTAATTCAAATATTCTCGTCTCTCTCTCTCTCTCTCTCTCCTTCTTGTGGCCCGATGGTTTCATGTAAGTTGACCTGTCTCTACAGAAATGTATTTTATCTTGTTTAAACTGACTAGATTGTATAAGATAATATTCTGTGCAAAATAAATGTGGCTTCAAAATGTGAACCAGAAGAGTCAGCAGGTGGCATAGTGATTAAAATGCTGGACTCCCACATGGCTGCACACAGTTTGAGTCCCAGACCTGGTGGATTAAAAATCATGCCAGATGTGTGAGTGTACATGCCCAAAACCCCAGGAGGACAGTGGAGAAAGATTGTGACACGGTCACCCTCCCCGAGGGTGATTTCTCACTTTCCCTTTCTCTCTGTTAATATGGTATATGTGAGTGTGTGTGTGTGTGTTTGTGTGTGTGTGTGTGTAGTTTGTATATACCTACCAGACGGGAGAGAAGGAAGTTGTAAGAGAAAAAAGTTCTATAAATTCCTCCTTAAGAAGTACATTTCCCAGGACCAGCAGTTGGTGTAATGGCTATGTCACTGGACTCCCACATAGTCGACAATGGTTCGAGTCCAAGACCCAGTGGCTTAAATTCACGCCAGGTGTGTGTGCATGTGTGCCCAAGATACCAAGAGGAGAATGGAGGAGAAGGGATTGCGGTGTGGCCATCCCTCCTGGGGGGTGATTTCTCGCTTTCTGTCTCTCTCTCTCTCTCTGTCTGCATGCACTCTATAGCAAAAACCTCTCAAAAAAAAAAAAAAAAGGAACATTTCCCTGAAGTTTCTGGTTTATAAATCAACATATTAAGATCTCTTCATTTGGGGTTCCAAATTCCAAAATAAGAATATCAGTCAGGTTCAAGTCTGGATCTAAATAGGAATTGAAATGCACATTGCTTCCTTTTGGAATACCACTAGTACCAGTTTATCATGAGAATATTCTAATCCCAGAAAAATAAACACTGCAAAATGTGCTAAAATAACCCTATTTGCATAAAAATACACTTTATTGATAGTTGTTTTTCCTAAATAACAATCAAAATCATTTGAATTTTAAATTCCGTGTTCTTTAATAGCTATCACGGGAGACGCAGCTCCTCTAACATGGCTATCATCGACGTGAAGATGCTTTCAGGTTACGTGCCTGACAGACTCTCAGTGAAAAAGGTACAGAACTCAATGTTGTTAGCTAAAATGGCTTTAGAATAGCTATAATGTGTTATGGCTTGTGCAATACGTGGACCACAAGTTGATGCAAAGAAAGAACCTATTTTTCTATTTCCTAGCAAATGAAACTTGAATCTCTTACATATCTAAGGTTACAACACTATTTGAAATTCTCAGTTATTTTTATTGTCGTACCAGGGCGATGGAAAATGGAAATTATAAAACAACCACATAGCTTTCTAATTTTTTTGCACTAAATTAACTCATACTTTAATCCCATTTTTCCAGAAACTTCTTGAAGTCCCCTTGTACTGTCAAGACAATAAGTCATGGGGAAAAAAAAAAATAAGCAGATGAGCTGGTGTTTATTTCATTCTGTCCTATTATTTTGTTTATAGAAAAATTAGAAGCTATTATAATATACAGACAGATCTCTCAGAAATGCTCCATGAATGAGTCTCAAAGATTAATATTGGTTGTTGAGGCCATATGGAAACATTGCAAATATTTATAAAGATGCGGGAGAACCATAAAACTTAAATGGAGTATTGTTATCTTTAAGTAACTAGATGTTTGTATTACTAGTTCCATGAATTTTTTCTTCTTATTTTCAGCTTCAGAATGATGGCAAAGTACAACGAGTGGAAATCAAAACCACTCATGTCTTTTTTTATCTGGAGAATGTAAGTTTACCATCACAACGTGGTTTCCGTGTTAGTGTATATGAGGCACAAGGTCATCTTTTGTAGATCTTTTTTATTTTCATAAGGGCATAAATACCAAAATAACATTGCCAAGGTAGTTGTGAATATGAGAAATTGAGATGATAGATTTCAATATGCATAATAATACCTATTTATTCCCAGGTTACTCAAAACCAAACTCAATTCTCATTCTCCATTGAACAAGATGCACCTGTAACCAACGTCAAGCCTGCATCCATTCAGCTCTACGATTACTATGAAACTGGTAAGAATTCTGCTTAGTCTTTGAGCTGTTTATAGTCTCCGTTAAATTAACCATAAACCTATTTTCATTTTCTCTGCTAGTGTTTTAGGTCCCTTTCTTGACATCATCCCTCATGTTTTATAATTTTTCAAATCACCTAATGCAAAACGCTTCAGTTTTAGTAGCACAGAGATTTTGTTTTTCTATCTAAATGCTCACAAGTGATGTGATTTTTCTAACCTAACTGCACTAAAATGTATAAATTGAAATTACTGAAGAGTAACTGTGAAGTAGCTGAATAAATCTGACTGAATAAATTCAAGCAAAGTAAAGTGAGTGACTATGAATGTTAGCATACTGTTTATTTGTTGGTATGAATTAGAGGACACAAATCATGTTTATTTTAATAAAGCAATAAACTGTTAGAGATGATAATAAAATATTATTATGAGAAAACATATTTTTAAACCATGACCATTTATTATTTTTTGCAGTTGTATGGATCAGCCAGTCTGACTGCTTTGGACTGGTGTTCCTCGTTTCTTTCTCTCTTTCCTTTTCTTTCTTTCTCTTTCTTTCTTTCTTTCTTTCTTTCTTTCTTTCTTTCTTTCTTTCTCTTTCTTTCCTCTCTCTCTCTCTTTCTTTCTCTCTCTCTTTCTTTCTTCTTTGTTCCTTTGTTTGTTTCTTTCTTTAGTTTTTGTTATGGGGTGTGTGTGCTCTCCAGAGAGAGAGGGATAGAGCAAGAAGGAGAAAATGAGAAAGTATACCATCACCACCCCCTTGGGGGCTGGCCATATCCCAATCTCTTCTGGAATTCTGAGCATGCATACACACATGCCTGGCATGTTGGCCAAGCCTCCGTGTCTGTGATGTGAACCGCAGTGGACCATATATGATCCAGCCACTTCGACCACCATGCCATCTGGCTTGCCCCTCTTTTCTCTTCAAATGACTCATGTCTGTGGGCAGCTGGCAGGTTAGCTGGCTAGATTATCTGGGACAGATCCATTCAGATATTCAGATGTCCAGCAGATCATAAGTTCTTGGAGACTGGCTGACTGACTACCAAGTGAGTCAACTTGTCTCCCAAGAGGAGAATGGAGAAGAATGATGGTCATTGCCCCTGAGGGGAGTGATCTCTCACTTTTTGTCTCTCTGTCTCTCTAGTAAGCACATGCACCCTATAACAAAAATCTCTCCAAAAATAATACTGAGGTCAGCAGGTGGCATGGTGGTTAAGGGTGCTGGACTCCTACGTGGCTGACCGCGGTTTGAGTCTAGGACCTGGCAGCTTGCTTTCTCATTTTCTCTCTCTCTCTCTCTATCTCTCTCTGGTCAAATTAAAACAAACAAATAAATAAATTTAAGTAAAAAATTATTTTAAAAACAAAGAAGAGAAAAAAATTACTTGTTTCATATGTGCTATATATGGTTAAATATCTCAGCCAACTAGGGGAGTGTTCATCCACTAAATAGTGATTTACAAACTTTGGTTACTCAACCACACGGAGAGTTCAACATCTGTTTCCAAAGACCTGGATAACTGACTAAGTTATTGTCCTTCCAGCTCTTGTGATTATACGGGTCCTCTTCCCTAGAAGATAAAACCCTAACCTCTGTTAGGTTGTAATATGTATCATATAGAAAATGTCATATCTGAAACAGTTGAGAATAATCTTATATGCATGCATGCAACGCAAAGCGATATAACTCGGAAGGGTAAAAATAGACCTGGCAGTTGTCAAGCAGGGAAGCTGTCAGAGGGGAGTTTATTTCTAAAGAGAGATGTAAAAATGCTTCCTTCTTGAACAATGTTGTGAGACTGTTTCTGATAGCGATTTTCTCTTTTCCAGATGAATTTGCGTTTGCAGAGTACAACACACCATGTAATCAGATGCCTTTTAAAACCTCCTAGGATAATGAAGTGGAAAAGAAGACACTTTGGGACTGGCTATACATTTTCTCCGCCAAGCAGGAAGCCTGCACTTCCTAGCTGCAAGTTAAGTTGGCTCCCTTGGTGCATCATCATAGACTAAACCCTTGCTGTCTGAGGACCTTGCCTGGACTCCTCATAGCCAGATGCAGCTGGGAAGTGCAAGCTTCCTGGTTCCAAGAGCTACCTCCAACCAATGGGGAGGAGAATCCTGGACAAGTGGTCCTGCCTCCTGCCTTCCAGCAAAGAATTCTGGGAGATGCTCCAAATGCTTCCTTCGAAATCCATCTCCCAGAATCTCATGAAGCAGCCTCAGTGAACAAATCCTTCCCTAGGCATTTTTCCTTTCTCGTCACAGTCCACTGATTTCTCACTCCTAATTCCTGGAATCACTCTGAAATTAATCATCTGCACCCAAGCCTTTGACTCAAATTCTGCTTTCAGGGCAAACCAAGCATAGACAACATATTACATCAGTTACTAAATAACTGCATACAACGTTTTGTTATGGATAAAATATTCTAATATTTTGATAATTTAGTTTCGCTATGTGTTTATGAATAATTTCCCTGAAAGTTGTGGGAAAAAAAAGGTTTTTGTTTAATTGCCAGAGGACGCATACACTCACCATAGAGATGGGGGAGGAGGATGAGAAAGTACCTTCCCCACAGGGCATGGCCATGCCACAATCCTTTCTCCATTTTTCCATCTTGTCAAGATTTGGGGACATGCACATATATGCACCTGGCAAGTTTGTCAAGCCACCAGGGCCAGGATTTGAACCAATCAGTCACATGCAATTCTACTCCCTTAACCACTAAGCCATGGGGCTAGACTTCTAATGCTTAAATGTAAATAAAGTTGTTTTCCTTGGCCACTGTTGAGTAAATCCTGCCAAGAATCTATGTATTTAACTTCCATTTCAAAGTTACAATTTTTTTTTTAGGATAAGTCTGGCATGAAACAAATGCATTCCTTCCTCTTCACTCTCATCTCCAAAAAAAATAAATAAATCACTTGGTGGATACTTCTAAAAATGCATCTGTACAGTTCTATTTGACACAAAGTATTTTTTAAAACTTGTGAGGCTTGGTTTAATTTTAGGACCAAATATTCATTACTGTATTATTATTGAACTTATATATATATTTCACAAAACTATCTTTAAATGTGCTTGAAGTATTTACCTATCTTAACTATTAAGATAAAAGACAAAAATGCGTATTGGTTTAAGCCTCAACATTTGGAGGACCTTGTTATAACAGCCATAGAAAATTAACGCACTATCTCACAAACATCTTGGACTTCACTGGCTTTCGATAGTTTTTCTCCTTTTTTTTTTTCAATTTTCCTCTTTTATTTTTACATTTTTTTAAATTACATTTAATCACTGTACATCTTTACAACATAGAAAATGAATTTTCCCGGCATGAATACACAGCTTATCAGTCAGATAAAAGATATTACCACATACACTATCAACAACAGATAACTTTTCATTGTTGTGTTTGTTAAATATTTTTTCTTTCCCTGATTTCCTCTCCCCCACCCCTTATTAGCAACACCCTCCTACACTCTCTCTAGTATCCACAGTTGCCTTCTCTGCTAGCAGAATCTTTCAGTTTCTGCCCTAGAGTGCAGATATTCGGTATATATTGAATGGGAGCATACAATGTCTCTCTTTTATAGTCTGGCTTGCTTCTCTTAGCATTAAATCTCCCATATTTGTCCACTCTGTATCAGATGTCAATGTCTCATTGTTTTTTTGTTTGTTTGTTTGTTTGTTTATGACTGAGTAGTATTACATAGTATATACGTGCCACACTTTCTTAATTCATTTATCTGTTCATGGACATTTGGGTTCATTCCATGTCTTAAGAGTTATCAATAAAGCTGCAATAAATATGGATGTGCAAGTGTTTTTCCAACTGAATGTTTTCCTATTCTTTGGGTAGATATCCAGTAGAATTATTGGGTCATATTGTAGTTCTATTTGTAGGTTTTTTGAGGAACCTCTATCTTTTTCTCCACAATGACTTTACTAACTTACATTCCTACCAACAGTGTAGGAAGGTTCCCTTTTCCTTGTAACTTTCCCAGCATTTATTATTCTTTATTTTTTTTAATCTTAGCCATTCTGATTATGGTAAAGTGGTATCGCATTGTGGTTTTGATTTGCATTTCCCTTATGATAAGAGATGCTGAGCATTTTTGCATATCCTTTTTGGCTGGTAGTTTATCCTCCTTTGAGAGTTACCTGTTCAGCTCATCCATCCATCTTTTAGTTGGGTGGATTATATTTTTTGCAAATAAGCTGCCTGAGTTCCCTGTATATTCAGGTTATCAATCCTTTATCTGAAGCAGAGTTTGCAAATATATTATCCCATTCTGAGGGTTGTCTCTTCACTCTATTGTTTCTTTTTCTGTGCAGATGCTTTATAGCCTAATGTAGTCCCACATGTCTATTTTCAGGATTATTGCCAGTGTTTTGGGATTACAAGTCTTTGCCTACTCTAGGGACCAGCAGTTAGCCTAATGGCTATGTTGCTGGACTCCCACATAGTCAACCGCAGCTCACATCCTGGTCCCGGTGGCTTAAAACTCACGCCAGGTGCGTGTGCATGCATGCCCAAGATCCCGAGAGGAGAATGGAGGAGAAGGGATAGCGGCGTGGCCATCCCCCCTTAGGGGTGAGTTCTCACTTTCTGTCTCTCTGTCTCTCTCTGTCTGTCTGGCGAGCGCACGCGCCCTATAGCAAAAACCTCTAAAATAAAAAAAAAGAAAGAAAGGAGGAAAGAAAGAAAGAAAGAAAGAAAGAAGGAAGGAAGGAAGGAAGGAAGGAAGGAAGGAAGGAAGGAAGGAAGAAAGAAAGAAAGAAAGAAAGAAAGAAAGAAAGAAAGAAAGAAAGAAAGAAAGAAAGAAAGAAAAAGAAAGAAAGACTTTGCCTACTCTGATATATCCAAGAGTTTCCCTTGTGTTTTCTACCAGAAACTGTGTGTGTGTGTGTGTGTGTGTGTGTGTGTTCTTTTGACAGAGATTTTTGCTAGAGGTCATGTGCACTCACCAGAGAGACAAGAGACAGACAGACAGAACATGAAAAATAACCCCCCAAAGGGGATGATCACACCACAATCCCATCTCCTCCATTCTCCTCTCAAGATTTTGGGCACGTACATACAGTGCCCAGCATGAGTTTTAAGGCATGGGGTCCAGTACTGGAACCGCAGTTGACTATGTGGGAATCCAGCAACATAAACATTACACCATCTCCTGCTCACTCCAGCAGTAGTTTTATAGTTTATGATTTTACAGTTAGATCGCTGATCTATTTTAGTTGATTTTTGTTAATGGTTTAAGATACGAATCCTGTCTCACTTTTCTGCAGGTGAATATTCAGTTTTCCCAGCACCACTTGCTGAAGAGATTTTCTTTTCCCCATTGGATTACCTTGTGCCCTTTGTTGAAAATCAGTTGGTCCATACGTTTTGGAATTTATTTCTGGATTCTCTATTCTGTTCCATTGGTCTACATGCCTACTTTTGTACCAATACCATGCTGTTTTGATTATCACAGTTTCATAATATATTTTGGGGTCAGTAAGTGAGAGCCTCCTACTTTATTCTTTTTGCACAGTATTGCTTTGACGATATGGGGCTTTTTATGATTGCAGACAAATTTTATTGTTTTTTTTTCTATTTCTATGAAGAATATCTCTGGTAATTTAATTGGGATTCATTAAATTCATAAATTAATTTGGGTACAGTTGATATTTTGATTATATTAATTCTTCCAATCTAGAGATATGGGATTTTTTTTCTTTTTTTCTTTTTCTTTTTTTAGCTTTTACTGTTTTTCTTGTAGGTTTATTCCTAGGTATTACTTTTTTGTGGCTATTGTAAATGGGATTTCTTTCTTCAATTCTACCTCATTTTGGGGGTGTAAAAATGCTATAGATTTTTGTATGTTGATTTTGTATCCTACAACTTTACAGTATTCATTCATTACTTCCAGGAGCTTTTTTTTTTGTGGAATCTTCTGGATTTTTTGTGTATATAATCATGTCACCTGCAAACAGAGATAATTCACTTCTTCTTTTCCTATTTGAGCGTCTTTTATTTTAGTCTCTTGTCTGTTTGCATTGGCTAGGGCTTCCCATAGTAATATGTTGAAAAAGAGTGGAGAAAATGGGCAGCCTTGTTTTGTTCCAGGTTTTAGTGGAAAAGGTTTTAGTTTTTCCCAATTCAGTATGACATTAGCTATGGGGTTTATCATCTATGGTTTTTACTGTGTTGAGAAATGTCCGTTCTATGCTAGTTTTGCTGAGAGTCTCAATCATGAAGGAACATATTTTATTGAATGCTTTCTCTTCATGAATTGATATGATCACATGGTTTTTGTCTTTCCTTCTGTTAATGTGATATATTACATTTATTGTTTTGTTTATGTTGAACCACCGTTGCATCCCTAGAATAAAACCTACCTTGTCATGGTGTATAATCTTTTTAATTTGTTCTTGGATACAATTTGCTAGTATCTTATTGAGAATTTTTGCATCTGCATTCATTAAGTGTTATATTCAAATCAGTGAGAAAATGAGAGGACATTCAGTTTTTGTCAAATTAATGAAGGCTTTATTAAGCCAGCCACTGCAAGAGAACTCAAGTCACTCCAAAACCTTGCAGCCCCAAAGCAGGAGGGATGGGAGGAAGATTTTTAAATGCAAAAACCACAAAGGAAAAAACTACATCTAAGAAAGTACAAGCATTGTGAAAGCAGGTTACAAAAGCTGGAACTTGCTGATAACTTGCTATCAGAAAAGACAGTTTTAATTGGCCAGACAGTTATAGTTGGTTGAATCTGCTGGTGATAAATATTTGGTTAGGAGGATAGAGATGGATGGCAGCGTTCATCTACTGGTGATAAGCACTCAGTGAGAAATTTTCAAAAGATTCTTATGAGACAGGTTACAGGGAAAAGGAAAAGGAGTCATTTCCTTCAAAATGGAGGTGTTGGGACCAGAAGTTAGTGTAATGGCTATGTTTCTGGACTCCCACGTAGTCAACCTCAGTTCATGTCCCAAACCTCGTGGCTTAAAACTCACACCAGGGGGAACCAGCAGTTAGCATAATGGCTATGTTGCTGGACTCCCACGTAGTCGACCGCGGTTCGCGTCCCAAACCCGGCAGCTTAAAACTCACGCCAGGTGCGTGTGCGTGCGTGCCCAAGATCCCGAGAGGAGAATGGAGGAGAAAGGATTGCGGCGTAACCATCCCCCCTGGGGGGTGATTTCTCGCTTTCTGTCTCTATGTCTCTCTCTGTCTGTCTGGCGAGCGCACGCGCCCTACAGTGAAAATCTCTCCAAAAAAAAAAAGATAATGAGAAGAGAAATAAAATCATTCCCAGATACACAAAAATTGGAAAAATTTACCAATACTAAATCAGTTCTTTACTAAATACCTAAGAAAATACTACACCAGGAAAACAAAAGAAAAACAAATAGAAATAAGACAACATTAAATAACTAAATATAAAATTGTTTTAAAAGTAATAAAATGACATGGATAAGTTCACACATATAAATATTATGTTTTTGGACTAAATTCCTCCAAT